TGTTTGTGATGATAAATTTTTTTATACATATTTATTTTAAAACTATAAAAAAGTTTAAAAAAAATAATCATTTTAAACTAAATAATATTTGGAAACTAAAAAAAGAAAACTTCGTAGTCTCAGCAAGTATTCCCAGACTTGAACAGCCCAAGGCGCTTCCCGGCCGGACAAGAGACATAGCCTCTCTAGAGTGTCCTGGGTCCTCTCCTAGACCTCCTCCTGGTAAGACATGCCTGGAACACCTCCAGACATCCAGGCCCTCTAAAAAAAAGATGTTTGTGCCACTGTAGCTGACTCCTCTTGATATGGAAGAGTCTCTAATCCTCCTGAACGATCTCCTCATCCTATCTCTAAGGGAGTGCCCAGCTCATTTTGTTTGTATCTGGGATCTCGATATTTCAGTCAGGATCCAAATTTAATGACTATAGGTGAGGGTAGGAACGTAGCTCAACAGTTAAATTGAGATATTTGCTTTTCACTCAGCTCTCCACCACAACATACTGGTTCAGCATCTGCATTATAGCAGCAAATGCACCCATCAGACAATCGATCTCCTGCTCCATTCTCCCCTCACTATCTTCACTCGTCAAGATACTTGAACTCCCCACCTTGAGACAACCTGAAGGGAACGTTGCAGGCTGCGCTCGGCTGGCAGAGGCTACCAGTTCTGGCTTTGGCAATGCAAGCAGGCGGTCGCCATCGCCGGTCCAAAGCAATCCAGTAACGTTGAAACTGACTTTCAGAATGCAGGACTTTTGCATCTCTAATTATCACTGGACTTTCCTGTGAATCCAACAACAAAGACACTTTGTTCTTGATCAGAGCTCCAAAACATGCTGGGAGCTTTAGTTAGAGTTGGTTTATGGCAGGGGTAGGCAGTCTTCACATATAACTTTCCTGCAGCTTTTGCCTGAATCCCTGCTCCAACACACCTGAAACGAAAGGCCAAATTACCTCCTTGGTATTTCGGTAAGTTAACCCGAGGCCTGTCCATTAACCATTTATTTGTTTTGGGTTTGTCAAAGAAATGATAGATCAGAAAGCTGCAGGACAATTGGCACTCTAGGATTTATGTTGCCTACCCCTGGTTTTTGGTGATCCTGGCATTACACAGACACAAAAATATGTATAGAAAACAGATTATTCAACACCCCATGGCATCTAAACCACGCCAACAGTCTACAGTTTAAAAACAAAAAAAAATATTTTTGAAACTAAAATAAAAAACTTGAATCTTAAAAGTAGTTTAAAACATTTTGTTAAGTTGTAATGCTATTTTTCAGTTTCTAAGAATTGTTTTACAAAAACCTTTATGGCCACTGTTTAGCTCCATAGATTTCCTTTGTGGCTTTAATATTGTGAGGCATTGAAGATAAAGAGTATGCACATTTCACCGAGGTACTGTGGTTGTTAAATGTGTGGGAGGTTCCAATAAGCTTCAATGCATAAAGAGTAATGAGATCCAACAAACGCAAACGTTCCTAGATTGAATGAGCGTTTAGCTGCAGATGCTGCTTGCTTCATCCTTTCTATAACCACATTAAATGTTTTAGTCCTAAATATAATGTACTTAGTGGTTGCAGTGAGGTTTCTTCAAGAACCCTTTGTAATGTGTGGTCTTGGTTGCTTGGCATGTATTTTAGCACCATAAAGCAAAAGACAATAAAAAATACATTTAGTTTCAGGGCCTGTGTGTTTCTGTAGTCTAAAGTTTCAAATACCATTTCTAGTAAAACGTTTTTTTCCAGTCTTTCCTTACCTGAAGACAAGGTAAACATTTTTATTTAGGAACTCTAGTCATTTACTTTTTACTGCATTGCCAGTGAAGGTAATACGTCATGTCATTTTCTCTTTATATTCTAATTAATGAGCTTCAGCTTTTAAAGGAAGCATGTTGTTGTTCTCTTAAAGAACAACATTATTTGGCTTCTTTTTTTGCCCTTTAATCTCAGCCGTTATACTGCCAGCCCTTTTGTCCACCTCATCCTCTCCATCTTTTGGATTGCTTGCTTTGTTCTATTCTAACTGTATTCGTGAAGAACAGCTGTGCATCTGTTCTCCTGTGGGGGCTGCTTGCAAGGAGTAGACATGCATGAAGTGGCTGATTGCTGCTCTGTGCTTGTCTCCACTCAAGTGCTAATGCAAAGGAAATGTCTAGAAAATGACACACCTCATATAATCAGAATTGCTCACTGTTATTCACCTTCTCGTTCAAGCTGCTACCTTTAAGCGGTGTTGAAGCTCTGCGCCAAAAAGCAGACAGGGGCCCAATTTTGGTTTAAACATATCCAGTATATGTTTTTTTTGTTCCGGTAACAAATGTACAGTGCCAATGAAAACAGCTGGGTAATGAAGTGTGGATTTTAATTGGTGAAATTCAAAAAAGAACACAGTTTTATTGAAAAATGTGTGTTTAAATAATCAGATTCAGATTATTGAGTGTTTTGGTCAGAAACATCTGAAGAGGCTCAAAAATTGAGCTAGTTCAAAATATATTGTGTTTGAATCCACCAGCTGAGTCCTCTGAAGGCCAACATTGTTGGCTGATTACGCCATAGCGTGGCGCCGTGGCCTATGCAGCTGACAAATGCAGCCCTCTTTACCCTGCCTGGAAGGACAGGTCTGGTGCATCTGTCGTTGGACACTGTATCCCATGATTCATTGTGAGTCCAAGCAAGCTGGCTGCTCCTTGCTCAGAGGAAAGAAGGAAAATGGCGACGAACAGTGGTGATGTGCGGTTTAATAGAATACAAGTATGTTATTTATTTCCTCTTAAATTAATGAAAATAGTTAATTTAAATGGTTAGTAAGTCAGATATGGGGCAGGTAAGATTTTATCTGTCCCTGTGCAAATTGGTTTGGCTGACATTTTAGCACAGATTCTAATATCAGTGCATTGAGGGGACTACAATCTGATATCTGCATTGACAGTACTGCTGCTGAAGCTCCTCAAAAAGTTCGGCATCCATTCTTCGCCTGCTTTGTATATCAACCGTCACGTTTGCTAGGAGACGGTGACAGAGCTTAAATTGCGGAAGGAGCCATGACAGTCAGAAAAGGACATGGTTCAATCTATAGCCGAACTCTTTCGATCTCTTATGTTCACAGATTTCGAAGGACCCACTCCAAATAGGCCGGGTTCCTTTGAGGACGCAGAGGCCAAAATCAAACAACCCCTATATTATTCTTTTTTTTACATATTTAAATCCTCAGTGGGAACCTTTGTATTCATTGTTTCTTGTACACCCGTAAAGTTGATGCACAAGCAGCAACACAATTGTTGGTCCACTCAGGGTATTGAAGCTTAAACGTATAGTGGAGGATGTTCGTTTTCCAGGTGGATCATCAAAATAAGTGGTTGTTTCTAATTGTCAAGCATTCTGGTGATATGTATAGGAAAGGCCGTCCTTCATGCTCAGTTAGCTATCTTTTTCTGGGCATGCACACTTTTGCTAAGGTTTCAGATAGTAATTGAAGCTCGCCTTTCTTACCGCGGTTCTTTAAAAATGGCCGAGGGTCGTAAGAGAAAAAGTGCCTACGAAGTATATGAGAAGAAAAGAAAGGGCTCACAAGAGAGAAACAACACCAGGGTGTTTTTGGGAGATTCTTTCAAGTGATGGCATATACTGAAATCACAGGTCGGACTCCCAACTGATGCCTTGGTTGCAAAGTCTCTGCACGACAGGTAAAAGTTGTCTACCTCTATATTGTAAAATTCCAGGGAAGATAAGGTTATTTATTCTGTAATTTGCATCATTAGTAGTTATACGGTGGCCACAGATCCTTTTTTACCCCGCAAACATGTCCAAATGTCCTCTGCAGCACTCACAAACATACAAGCATGTCAGGATTTTTTTATGTACCAGTACTCTTATTTACCGTAACAGGAAACTTTTATAAATATGGGTGAGATGAGATCCACCTGAGCAACCGTCTTATCATTGCATACTGGCACCTCCTTGAGGAGAAATGGGCTCATGCATGCTGTTGCACGTGCTTAATAGCCGTTTCTCGGGAGCAGGTGCAAAAAAATGCATGTGCTTTTTTTTTTTTTTTAAAGGGTAGAGAGCAGGTCTTTTTAAAAAATAGCAAAAATCCTCCATTATACCTTTAAAAATGTACATTTACAGTCATGTGCTTATATTACTGTTTATATATATATATTTTTTTTTTTTTAACTTTTTTTTTAAGGCTGCACTTTTAAAAAGATGAAATTGTCCAGAGAGCTGTTCCAAACGAAATATCTTTTTGTTTTACACTTGTGTAAACAAAATGACAAATAAATCTGTCTAAGTCTGTCAGTGAGTCCTACTAATCTCAGCACCTCAGATTATATTTAATTATGAACAATAATCAATTATGTGGAGGGTTTGTCATCAAATTCTATTAATTAAGAATCGTTTTTTTATAAATAGATATATTAGACAGAATAAGGTTCAACTTTAAACCTAGATAAAAATGCATGATCCCAAACCTTTATGTCAGAGAGAAATACAGTATTGAGGATAAATTGGCTGATTTCACTTTCCCACTAAGCTTTTACTACTGCATCTATTATTCTTTATTTTACAATTGCCTTCAGGTGAATTTGATTGTTTATTCGTAACTCCATCTCTCCTCCTTCTCTTTTACCCTTCACTTTTTAATCTTATTTATGGTTTCATTTTTTCCCTCCTTTCTCTCTCAGTCACACTCAATATCTCATTTTCTTCCCTCAACCCCTCCTCTTCTATTATTCCTCCTCTCATTCATTCAGTCTCGCCTCCCCCTCTTCATTTTATTCCCCTCCTCATACATTACACCCACCCTCCTCCTCCTCCCCCCCCCCCTCCTGCCTATCACACATCAGCTGAACATGTAAATATCATGCCACGTGGGGTACAGGGCTACAGGTGTCCTAAATCTGACGGAGCTTCCAGAACCCCTTCCCTTCCCCACCTGCACCCCTCCTCCCCCCCCTCAGCATGCCCCCCCTCCCCTCCCCATCGCATCTCCTCCTCTGAGCGGGCTGGGCTGCAGCAGTTTTATGAACGGCACGGCAGCATCATGATCCCCCCGCAGCCCATCGCGCCTCGAGCTGTTCCATTGACAAACGTTGCGGCTGCTGCATTCCTGCCGCGCACAGCGTCGAGGAGCGGAGCGTCTCCGCGGAGAGGAGCAGGAGGACAGGAGCAGAGCAGGCAGCAGCTGCAGTGATCCTCTACAACAACAGCCGGGGCGCCGTTCACACCAGTTTAAGAAGCTGTTGATTCGCTACTTGGACGCGGAGTGGGTTTTTACGCAGCCTCCGCTCTCCTTCCACGCTCTCGCGGGACACTCGGGGAAAGAAGAGAAATCACCTGAGGTGGTTGTCGGACAGTTTTGACACTCAAGACCCCCCACTCACCCCCCTCCCTGGGGGATGGGAGGTGGTTTCGTTCAGGCTGAGGCGCAGGAACCTTTCTGCACCTGCTTCCATGAGGCGCCCGGACGCACCGATGGAGGATTCTGGATGTTTATCCAAGAAGAAAAAAAAAGCCCCACGGAAATCTGCAAGCCTTCATCGGCCCAATGTGTGATGCGAACTGAGTGGGTGGCATAGAACCCCTCATTTTTCCCCTCTTCACACACACACAGACACACACACACCCCTACCGGCTCGTCCGCGGACGCGCCGTCCAGCCGGGACGCACAGACTGGTTCCACGCCGCCGGGGTGAGCAGCATGTCCCGTGCAGCAGCGATCGCCAGCTCCCTGATTCGCCAGAAGCGGCAGGCGAGGGAGCGAGAGAAGGCGAACGCCTGCCGCGGCAGCAGCAGTCCGAGCAACAGCAAGGGCGCCAACGAGAAACCGAGCAAGCTGAATGTTTTCTCTCGAGTCAAATTGTTTGGATCGAGAAAAAAGAGGAAGAGAAGGCGACCACCAGGTTTGACGGGGAGGGAAGGGGGGGAAGAAAAGAAGCAGCCATCAGCATCATCATCAACACCATTTTTTTTTCTTCATCACTAAAGCAGGCTCATCATTTCTTCCAGTTTCACCATCAAGATGTGTTACTGGGGTTTGAAATGTGCAGCCTGCTGTTAATTCACTTCATTTTTTGTCCCGCTGTGAAGTCCTGTAGCAGCAGGTGTCTGCAAACAAACATCATGCAAAAAGGAGGCTGAGGCTTTGTCCTGTGACATCACTTCACAGTCATCTGGGTGTAATAAAAGCTGGAAAAGAATGAAGGTTAAAAACCACCCTGTTCCAAACGTGAATTCTGAAGTGTTTCATGTCCATCCTCTCTTTCAGAGCCCCAGCTAAAGGGCATAGTGACCAGGCTCTCCAGTCGCCAGGGCTTCCAGCTACAGATGCAGTCTGATGGAACCGTCGATGGAACCAAGGATGAGGACAGCACCTATGGTAAGGATGTTTTTTTTGTTTTGTTTTTATTTTGCTTTATACCACAAACCAAAGCAGAAATACAGAAATAAATGGTGTAGAACTTCTGTATAATTAATTTTTCCAAGTACAAAAACAGAAAAGGTGGTTAATAATTTGTTCTGATCTATTTCCCTGCTGAAACAATGTTGAACCAAGTACAGATTTATCATATTGTCAGACCTCATTACTGATAAGTATGCTTATTAAAGTGTGTGCAATATTGTTTTAGCTATATACCAAGTATAATACAATTTGAGTGCAAATTACTACTAAATATACTTTTGCAAATGAATAAAAGCAGGTATTTTTTATATATTTACAGTTAAATTTTGTCCTCATGCATTTAAATAAGGTTTGCTGTGAGACTGATAACTAGTTACATAACATGCAGGCACACTATAGTGTATAAGTTACATATATATGTTTATGTAATTGCAATGAGTGAGAAATGACGATGCTTGTTGAAGCCTTTTTGAGCTGAATATTTGAACTTCTTCCAGAATAAAATGCAGCAGGAAAGGTTACAAAGGAAGTAATGTTGGGGATAACCCTGGGGAATTGGAGCTTTTACCTCCTGGCTGATAATTCGAAGGGATATGGTGTCCCAAAATGTTTCGGTGGAGTTTTAGGAGGGCTAATGGGTCTGATGGTTTCGGCCCTGGAAACAGAGATTTGGCTGGACACAATGAAGCATATGGGTAGGAGCTACTTTGAGAAATGTCAACATTTTTCAATTTATCATATTCAAGTAATTGTCTAGTTTAAAATTTACTCTTCATGTCTTCAGAATCACTGATTATCTTAAATCATAATTAAAAAGGCTTTTATAAAAGACGGTTTCACCATACAAGTATATAGATATATATATTAATATATATGAGGAGATGGATAAAGATATTAAATAACCCACAATTTCCTTACTTGCTTCTTTGTTCTCTATTATTCAGCGACCACACATTTTTTTGGAAGCTTTCATATATCAGCTAATAAAATATAGAGACTATCCACCTTGATTTTTTTTTTTTTATAGAGAAGACAGGGTGCATTAAATATGATATCCAACCAAATATTGCTTTTAAACTGTCCTTTTTGATTATCACATTGCAACCACTGATATAGTAATGGCAAAACTTTGTGATACGTCATTAAAAAATAGGAAAAAAAATTTAATAAGTAGTACATCTGTGGTACATTGAGTATATTATTTAGTTTTGCTACTTATATTTTTAACATTGATATGAAGGTGTTGCTCTTTGCACAATTAATGCATTTTCTTCTTCAAGGAGTGTCTCATTTTTCCGTTTGAAACACTATTTGAGTTAATTACCATGAAACAGAGAATGGAAAGGATTAGGGTAATGATAACCGTGTAAAAGCAGATTTAGCTAAACTCTAATATCGGTTTGTACAGATTAAAACAGCAAGTCAGCAATGATGATGTTTAAGGAGCCACTTCATACTTTGTTTACTTTATATCTTAAATGTTGATTGATTAAAGGTTTTTACAGGGATATGTTGTAAAAGAAACCAATAAAAAAGAGACATTTTAAAATAGTAGCTGTCACTCATAAGCATGAAATGGCAGCTAATAGTGTCTAAGAAAAGGATTCAAACCAGAGGGAACAGAGCCTTTACTGTCGTTGGTCCAGGACTTACTATACTTTGCCCTCCATATATTAACAGCCAATAGTGGAGTTTTTAAGTCTCATCTTAAGACCCACTTTTTATCTCTTTGGCTTTTAACACTGCATAATTGTGTGTTCCTCTTTGTCCTCTTTATTTATTTATTAATTTAAACTCTTACTTCTTTGTTTTGTGTGTGTTGAGTTTTTTTGTTTGTTTTTATGTGCAGTGGAAACATTTTTTGTTAAATGTGCTGCATAAATAAAGTGGATTAGATTATATCGGCAATGAAAAAAATCTTTATGCAGTGATAGAAATAAATTGAAGACATAAAAATCTTAAAAGAAAAAAAAATCAGTTCTTTTCTTAAAGAGCAACAGTCCAAGCCTCATGTTCCAGAACTGTGGTGCATATAAATTAAATGCTGCCCCCTGTCTGACGTTTTTTTCGTCCTATTTCGTCATATTTTTACGTCTTGCCTCGAGACAAGATATCAGTGCGCATGCGCATCTAGCGCACCATTCAATAACATACAATTTAACATACAATTAACCCTAACCCTAACATACAAAACAACAAGCAACCTAGTGAGAAACATCATGAAGTAATTATTGCACTGTGGAAAGCTTGTCCATCCCAGTTTTACGTCCGTCCGCCGATCTGCTTTTTTCGTCTGGTTGGCTGCGCATGCGCACTGATATGTTTTCTCGAGGAAAAATGTCAAAAACCTACGAAATACTGTGCATAACCTTTCGTACGATTTCATACGAACTGATAATGAGAATATTTTGCCCCTGTTTTATGCCTGACGTTGGTTCCCAGAACCTTTATGTGAACTGGTCTCAAATAACTTAGCAGTTCATTCTTGAAAGGAACTTTGAAGTGCATTATAGTTTTGCTTTTGATAAAAAGTTTGATAAAAAGGCCATTGATAAAATGTTACAATCTAAAACAGTATCTGTTTGTTCTGTGGTTTATAGCCATGTCAAGCCTAACTTTGACCTCATCTCAGATCTTGCATCTTTTGCTAGAGAAAGGTTGACCTCTTTCTTTTCTTACATTAGGTTTAAGGAAACTCTGGCCCATTAACTTATTGATTGTGGACACAGTGTCAAAGTAACTGTAAGGAGCTGTGGTCGTTTGTTCATAAAAAAAATAAAGGTCTTCCATAAAAACAAATGTATGGTACCATATTTGATTATGTTGGTGAAGATTCTCAGTCATTCAGGTCATAGTCAGTCCAAAAAAAGTTAAAAACAAAACTAAGGAACTTTTTTTTTTCTTCCAAGTTTGAAGACGTTTCGCTACCCACCGAGGAAGCTTTCTCAATTCAAAATGTCTGGAGTAGTGTGGGTGCCAATACTTAGCGTTTTTGTTCAAATTGTATATTTTCTAAGCCATAACAAGGCTTTTGTTGGGGTATTCTATAAAGCTTGGAATTCAATGATACTCCTTTTTTTAAATTCATTTATTCGTAATAAGATGGCTACAGGTTCCTTAAAGATTTTATATAGAATCTAATCTAAATTAATCAAAATCTATGCTAAATGGGAAGTTCTGGTTAGAACATTTTAATGGACAAAAAAGTTTTTCATCTTGAGTTGAAAATGGTTTTATAATTTTTTGCAATTTTGATATAATTTCTGCCCTGAGTGGGTTGGTCCTCCAGCTTATTTTTTTATTTTAAAGTCTTTATTTGGCAGTTATATGATGATAAATTGCTTAATTACTAAAGTTGATCATAATTATCCGGCTTAATTATTTCAGCCCTATTTTAAAACCTTTTAAGATATTATTACATTTTAAATTTCTCTGAAACTTTAAACCTTGAATTTTAAGGTTTGTCTAAAATATGATAGGGAATTCTTAAATTGAAGTCCTAAACAGTAGATAATTTATTAAGAAGTTCTGCTCTAACGTCAGGTTAGTGCTTTTGTTAGTTTGTACTGTAAGCTGCTGGGGCAACTTTCTAACTTGAACTGCTGTTTCAGTACAGGGCTTTCTCAAATACAATAACCTTTTTATTGCCTTTAGATTAAAAAAGAAGCATTAAAGAAAGGCACGTCCCCTACTTTCTTCTCTCCCTAGTCATAGCTTGGCTTTAACTTCACACAATTGAAGAGTATTGCATTATGTCGAAGGTTTGGTATCAAGCAAAGATGCAGATTTAATTTAGCACCTTTATAAGCACTTTGGGGTTAGCATCTAACTCTGACTAAATCCAATTTAAAGATAAACGTCACTACGTGGAAACATGTTTGATCCTGACCATTTAATTCAGGCAGTCATTCAACATGTAAAGTGCTTATTTAATTAGGAAGAGTGAACACATTTTTTTTCCCTCTCCAAATGCCAGGTGGCAACACTGTCTGTAAAATCTATTGGTGTCGACTGGTTAAATAAATTGATTAAACATCAACCGAAAACAAGGTGGGGTTTTTCAATTTCAGAAATAATGAAAGATACCATGTTGCACCACAATAATAGGTCTCCATCTCTTCTGCCCACCCCAAACACGCACATACACACTTCATACTAAAGCATTAACCTATTAGTTTGATACAGCTATAGCCAATTTGGATGACATTCTGAAGCTATGTATCGGGTCTTCTGTCGCACAATCGGTTTGGCAGCATCATGCACTAATCTACTGCTTCTCAGGCCACCCACTTCTGAGTACAGAACCAAACACATGGAAGTGTTTTCTTTAATTAAATGATTGCACGCAGTATACATCACGTTAACGCCTATGTGAACTTTGTCACCCGTGTCAGGGGGTTTGGAGAGATAATCCCTGTAATTCAAGTCTCCAAACAACCACGGTCATTAAAAAGAACATGGTTGGCTGATTGACTGTAATTAAATAAAGGCTCGACACACAAAACAGTAGGAAATAATCACAGACCTTCGACAGCTTCTCATCAACTACAGCGGTGACTTTTCCGTATGAATGGAAAATATCACAGATAATTACAGCTGACTTTATTTATACTGTCTGCTAGAAGTGTTCCCACACTTCTGGCTTGCAATAGAGCATCAGAAACATTTTACAAGGATGAAGGCCTTAGAAAAAAAGAGAGCTTTTATAAATTAAAAAGCAAAATAATTAGGTACAAAATTTTAAGTTTCAATAATTTTGCCGTGCTGCAAAAGTTCTGTTTGAAATTTATACATAAACCCTCTCTAATATTTTAATTTGTCCTCTATTATGTGGTGTAAGTACTCAAATGCAGGTAAGCCAAACAGAGAATGTGTAAACCAAGCTAAACAGGAAGTTCTGCAGCAACAGGGAGTTCAAGGAGAGAGGGACAGCAGGAAGAGACACTGAACTGAAACTATATATATATATATATATATATATATATATATATATATATATATATATATATATATATATATATATATATATATATATATGTATATGTATACTGGGAGAGCGATGACTGAAACAAGGAGCAGGTGAGACAGATTAACTGACTGGAGGCAGCTGAGTGTGGCTCGCTTCCTTGTCTTACTGACAGCTGAACTAGACACTAGACTTTGTTAATGGAGGGTATTACTGTCAGGCTTTTTCCAATGTACAGGTAGACTGATATAAAGGCAGAGGCCCATTAGGGCTGAGTCATGTAGCCAAAAATCTAAAATTGCGATAATTATTAACCATTAACCGATTTTATCTCTGTTTTTATTTGCACTAACTCCAAGCTTGTAGATGTTTTACCTCAGGGTTTCAGTTTTTGAAAGCTGTACCTGCATGCATGGATTTAGCTGTAACTCTCTAGCTTTCTGAATAGAATAGAAAAGAATAGGATAGAATAGAAAATCCCTTTTTTTGTCCCTCAATGGGGAAATTCTGGTGTACAGCAGCAAAAAAAAAAAAATACAAAAAAATGCTCACACAATATTTGGACCTTAGAAGAGTGTAAAAAATACCATAATAGTAAAGAGATAAAAATAAACAAATAAAATACTGTACTGTAAAGTGTTTTAAAAATATAAATACTGTGCACCTGGAGAAGAAATAACCAATATACAACTGTAGTCATTTTACAGTAACGGGTAATTCAAAATAGAAGCAACATCAGAGATTTCAACTGCCACCCAAAGTGACTAAAATTGATTGCCTCTGTGATTTGAAAAAAATGAATATTGTTAAATTGAGATTTATTGCAAATGTGATTAAATGCCCATCCCTAATGCCCACACTGATTATTATGACAATAGTCGAACAATTTCCTGATATGTACTGCCATTTTTTTGGACCATTTTTTGAAGCTGATATAAAAAAATAAAAAAATACTCAATACATGCATTTCCCATGATCTCAAGGCATGGCTTCTGAATGCAATAATGAATCGAAGAACGCCTGCATGAATCCGCCGATACTAAAACAAAAAAAAAGAAGCTAATATCGGACCAAAGCATCAACCAGGGAGCAGAGCAACAGACGCCACAAGCTACTTCAAAGTAGAGACTGACATTTTTTCGGGAATCCCACGGGTCCCGGGATTCAACGATCACGTGATTGGTACAGGATTAAACATTAACGGGAGCAGACGGGAGTGGGAGCAAACCAATAGTAACAAAAAAAAAACTAGGATCGATGCCAAAAAATAAAATAAAATAGAAAGAAAAAAAATCCAGTACTGGCGCCGCCATTTTGTAGTTTTTTTTCTTGAAGCCTACACTATAATGCGAGTTAAAAAAAACTACACGACCCAAAAACCAACAGTGCTTCCTCTCCGAGTTTTTCACCCGCGCTCAAAAACAACAATGGAGGGACCAACAGTTACTACAGTTAGAAACAGGAACTTAACTGACCCTTCATAGAAATTCAGATTCAATGCATTGGCAGAAATCTTACTGAAGACAACAAGAATGGGAGTGGTGCAGGAGCGGGAGTCATTCTGAATGGGATTGGGAGTAATTTCACTAGGAGTGGGACGGGACAGGATTTAGATTTCTACTCTGGCCCGGGATCGGGACGGGACACAATTTTTTTCTGTGGGAGTGGGACGGGACAGGAGCGAAGATCCACTCCCGTGTCAGTCTCTACTTCAAAGCAACACCAAGAGGATGGGTTTTCTACAATGACAGACGTGATTCTACAAAGTGATATGTATTATCGATGTAGATCAGTGAACTGTTGCTAGAGTGCTTTTAAATGATGGAAACATTGACATTTTACACCAAGAGTACGTGATAACCAGAGTACTGTGGAAATTGGTCAGCACTCGAGGAGGCCTGCTTGTCAGTCTACATTCACACACTTTTTCTTCATTTCATTAATCTTTTGGTAAAATGAGTACAGAAAATGATCATGCCATAATCGTGCCTGTCTTCATGATTTTCCGTGGAATAATCTACAATTCCATGTAACTATTGAGTTACCATAACGTCTGCCTCACACGTGTAATAAACCAAGAGGCACATTTTATTTGATGAATATTCCAGCAGTGAAGCATGCGGAAAGCCGTATGTGAATGGAGATAAACCGCAGCATTATCACTATCTCATGGCAAAGCTTCTTTTAATGAAACATTTTACTAATTGCCTTAAACTCATTTGATCTAATGTACTAATTCTTTTTTTAAGTTACTGAATCTGAACACATTTAGCTGAGCTTTAATGTCGATAATTGGTATGTGACATAACCTGGCTTCAACTGAAATGCATGAATTAGAAAGATTGTTGCATCTTGAATTGTAACTAAACTACACCCAAACGAAATTAGCTGTTATTATTTGGCCTTTTTTTTTTTTACTGCTATTAGATATTCCTCCACTGTGCCTAGAGATGACCTTTGCGGAATATTGGCGCCACATAAATATACTGAATTCAATTTATATAATGCAATGTCTGCCTGAGTAAAAAGCTGCATACTGGCTCTCTCTTGCATTTTGCTTTGACACTAACCTAAACATTTCTGCAGACCAATCACACCTCCCACACAGCAGCAGCACTCCCCTACAGTGGCAGCCTCTTATGCTGAAAGATACCATTGGCGCTGCAACAATCTTCTGAGCAGTGCCTAAAAGCACATAAAGAGTTTGTGGTGTTTTCTAACGCACTATTGTTGTGTCAGTTATTTTACCAAGTGGGAATAACTTCTAGTCAGTCCTAAAAAATGGGGATGTACTCAATGATCGGTCGTAAAATTAAAGCTGAATGGTTTTCATTGACATGGGCGATTTCTCTGTAGAATTACACCACAACCATTCTAGGGTTACTGCCGTCTTACCCAAATCTTTATATGCTTTCAAATACTATTGTGTTATTTATTGGTAATATGCCAAGAGATATGAATATATCACTCATAATGAAAAAATTGAAAAACTCAAATAGTAATATTTTTAGAGTGCCTTCCAACATGTCCTAAAACATTTTTAAGTAACATTGACTTGTAGTATTTGTGATAGGCCAAACAAAGCCTTTCCATCTTGCTTTGCAGAGTCATAGATCATATTCTTGTCATGAAAAATAAATATGCAGAAGGATACACAACAGGAGTTGTTGGGATAATCTTTTAATATTTATGCTTAGTAGTAGTTTTTTACACAATAGTAAAGTCCTGTCTTGTCACCATCAACACTGGACAAATGGCAATTTTAGGTAATTAAAGCAACAAAACCTTAAAGAAAAACATCTACATGCATGTGTCTGGTGAAACCACTTGTTTTTTTTTGTCTCCCCTACATCTCCTTGTAGCAGCTAGAAACAGGACGTCTTATGGCCTTTATTACCCCATTCTTCCATAAAGGCCAGATTTGTGAAGTACACAGTTGTCCCTTTAACAGATTCTCCTACCTGAGCTGCAACTCCTTCAGCATTATTATGAATCTCTTGGCTGCTTCCCTGATTTATGCTCTTCTTGTTCGGCTTGTCAGTTTAGGTGCTCAGGTGCATTTTAATAGATTTATAGTTTTGACTATACTTCCACTCCATCTTTAAATTGCAAATGCAAACCAAACTTTGCTCATGTTTATTTGTTTAAAAAAAATCAAACCCTACATTCTCCTTTTTATACATTTATGAACATGTAAATGTTGAAGAGTGAGTACTCACTTATCTTTCATAAGACAGAAAACTTTGTTGACAACTCCTTCCTATTTGCTTGCTTGTCCAGAAAGCCAAACTGTTTGTGCCTGACTAAACTTTCAAAACAGCCTCTCAGTGGCAAAATGGAAGTGTCATTATGTCAGTGATATTGATGAGGATCGTTCTCTGTTTCCCTCCCTCTGAACATCCATTTGCTTTTCTCTCTGTGTGTCTGTGTGTTCCTTGTTTGGCTCTTTGTACAGCCGTGTTCAACCTTATCCCCGTGGGGCTTCGTGTCGTGGCAATCCAGGGAGTCCAGACCAAACTCTACCTGGCCATGAACAACGAAGGCTTCGTCTACACCTCGGTAGGTCACATAAAAAAAGGCACTGTTGTGACTAATATCATAAATCAACGTCACACTGAGTAATGAAGCAAACGCATCCACGGAGGGAACACTCATTACTGCACTATCGTCACATCAACACCTTGATGGCACACCATCTGAGCCCAACTTATCTGTCTCTTGATATTCTTCCAAGGATTCATTTCTTCTGCTCACGCTCTTGTTTGTATACCTTTGGACATTCTCGATGAAAAGATTTCTCCTGATTTTTGCCCTCATGTCATTTCCAACGCACAGAAACCGCACACTGCTGCGTTTATTTAATCAGACAGGCCAGAAGGTTGGAGTTGGCTGCAGGGCTGTGCTTCAAGCACCTCATTTTAGCTCTTCAGCGCTGGTGGTGGGTGGTGTTGAAGCAATAACAAGAAGAACCAACAAAATAACACACACATGCAGTTCTAGCAATCTGTAAAAGCAAAGCTACGAGACCGAAAAGATGAAAACTAACAAAGAGGAAATAAAAAACGATGCTCACCTCTGCCTTTGCAATCACATATACCACCTCAATATCTGCTTCATCATATTCTGGGTGCTTTCTGCTGTGTTTCTAACCTCTTTCATAAAACTGATATCACTTGATCCATCTTCTAACTTAATATTAAAAAAAAAAGAAAAAAAATGAAAACACACCACATGGCACACTCCTCTGCTTTTCGCACCAGGTCTGTTCAGACGTCACGAAGCACAAACCTAATCAACATTCTTGCTGTATTAACACATGTCAGTAAGAAACAACATCCTTTTTGTATCATCCTGTTTCCCTCAGCAACCTGGCCACCATCTTTCCCAGTGGGCTGGTTGGTATTCAAGGGAGTAGCTGGTTGCTATGGAGACGCAGGAATAAGGAAATGCAAATGTCAGCTGTCCTAAGTTGGTGCAGCTCATTTCTTTGAGACCACGGCCTCGGCCAAGAAAATGACTCTAAGAGCAGAGCGCCTGATGGATAAAAGGAGGGATGGATTAGAAAGTTTTGAAATAGAGCTGCTATTACACAACACACGCGTTCTGTACCTTTGCTGTCTTCCTGCAGCACATTCTGCAACCTTTTTAATGCTCTGCTAAATCACACAGCTGCTTTCTTTCCTAGGCAATTTGTTCTAATGTACCTCATGTTCTCTGCTCAGGAACATTTTACCCCGGAGTGTAAGTTCAAGGAGTCGGTGTTTGAGAACTACTACGTCACCTACTCGTCCATGCTGTACCGACAGCAACAGTCAGGCCGGGCGTGGTACCTGGGACTCAACAAGGAGGGAGCGATCATGAAGGGAAACCATGTGAAGAAGAACAAGGCGGCCGCACACTTCATACCCAAACCACTCAAAGGTAGGGCTGCACTAAACCTGAGCAAGAGCTCACATCCTGCTGGTCACTTGATTTTAGGCACTGCTATAACAGTCTCAGTGAGAAGTTTAGGGTAAAATGATCGTCGGCCTTAAAGGACACAAGATGTTAGCTTTTAATGCTAAAAACTGGGAGTACATGTTTAAATTTATGATAAAGTAAGACTGACTTCTATTGTTTTGTTTCTTGCCATTTAAATTGTTAAAAGGCTTCATAGATATCTTTCTACGATTTCTCTAAAATGAAAAAACAAATCGTGTCCAAACATAAAAAGATATATTGTTTGTGAATATTGGTCAAATATCTTGCCAAAGGGGGTACGGATCTCTGAATTGTGGAAGAAGAGCTAAAGAGAAACGTAGGTAAAAAATGCTCCAGCTAAACATTTGCCCATTGAAACTGAAACTGATAGCATAACCTAGTTACTGATGTCATAAATACGTTACATAAATAATCAAAACTCAGTTGGCCAAGAAATTAAAGGTATAACGGAGGATTATCGTGTTCTCGTAAAAAAAAAAAGCGTAGGCGCAGCCCTGTACCCGCACCTGAGAGGGAACGCCTATTAAACACGTGCGAGAGCGTGCACGAGCCCATTTCTCCTCGTGCACGCTCCGTTTAAAAGTTGCTGTTTGCATCGCTCATACAAGCTTACTTTCCAAAAGAAGATTTGCAATTTTTCTACTATGTCAGACTCAGCACTGGTAAGTAAAAATCGACGAGCACGTAGGACGGCCTTACGTAAACTCATCACCAGAATGATTGACATTAGGACGCTTATTTTGATGATCCACCCGGAAAAAGAACATCCTCCGCTATACCTTTAGGGGAAAAAAAATTAAAACAAAACTATAGTTAAAAGCTACAGATCCCTTCATGCAGCTGCAGAATATTGGGAATTTCACTGCCTTGATGCCGATGGACACAACAGGATTACACTGAAGACACGCATATATATATTGGCAAGGCTTGATTTTCCTGAATTTCTTTATGTGTAAGAAAATCCCATTACTGCTATCATACTGCACACTGCTGCTGCAAGTTACAGCCTTTCTTTATTATGCATTCACTCTTTAACATCTGTATTGACTGGTCAGTCATTTGCTTTGAAAAAAGTGTGATAAGAGGCAGCTGTTCATGTGCCAACCCTGTCATTTTATAAAAATGATGGAAGAAAAGCCTGATGTGCAGTTTAGAAGCAGTCTTTGAATAGGAAAAAATTACTTCCTTTGCTGTGGCTTTTGTGACTTTGCAGAACTTTTGCAAATATCCAAAGCCAAACAACACACAAAAAGAGAAAACTAAGCTTACAAAGCAATAAACAAACTCCTTTTATCTAAAAGTAAAACAATTAAGTAATTATTTTCCCTCTTAGAATAGGACTTCTTTGAACATGTATTAGTTTCATTCTTTTTATGATGTTTTTGATTTATTGTACAGCATAAATTAAGTTTTCTGCTGAGTCGAGGAACAATTTTTCACTAAAATGTGCTGCTGTTCTTTTTAAGATAACCCTAAGTGTAATTAAGACAAACATACTTGATGCTTGACTTGGTTTGATTCAAAATGCAGCTTGCACAAGCTTAACATGGCAAGGAGCACACACACAAGGAAATTAAATTATTCCCTTTCCTTAAGATGACCTGCATCTACGATTTTAAATATTTATGATAAGATATATTAAAATATTTTCAAATTTGAAATAAAGTTGACATAAAGTTTAAAATGTATTTAAAAATACAGGTCTTAATTAGATTTTTTAATATTGAATGGTCTTAGTAACTAATAAGAGTAATCCTTGAATATGTAAGGAAACTCCCGAATTATACATTTTATCACTTAAATATAACTTTCTCTGCCTTACAATCTAAGTATTTTGATAATTTAGCCAATCAGAATGTGAAAGAAGGCTTTCTTTTTTCTTTTTTTTTTATCTTTGACTGATAAAAATAAAAATATGGTCTCAAGCTCAGCATGTCCAACATTGCATTTATTGCAAAGGTAATGATTATCTTCTCTCCTCTATCTGGCCTGAAGTACCCTCATCAGTGACAGTGGGAATCCTCTGAGTTTGTGCGGGCAAACAAACAAAGAAGTTCATTAATTTACATTGAAGAAAAGCTTTAGTCTGTATGGGTGGAAATGAGTGACTCATCACTGATCATACCTTTCATGCTCACTTTATCACTGTCTCCTTTGCCCACTGCAGCCATGTTTTGGCTGCAGTGGGCAAAAGAGACAGTGTGGTGAAATTCAACTTTTTAAAAGCAATAGTCTTTATTTGACCTGTAGTTTAACATTGTATGTGTAGATCATTAAGAGGGTGGAACCTCACATTACTTTCAAACTGAATTTAATCCTTACCTATCGATACACTGCTAAAAAGCAGGTAAAATGTTCATAAGCTGTATGCAATGCAATTTCGTTCTGTATGCAGTCTGTGCATACAAAATGACAAATAAAGAAGTCTAAGTCTAAAATCAGGGTTCCCGCGGGTCCTTAAAAAGTCTTAAAAGGCATTGATTTTTTTTAAATAAAACTAAGGCCTTAATTGGTATTAAAATGTCTTAAATCAGTCTTTCGTAGGTCTTAATTTTTAAAACATCATAAATATGATTATTTTTATCATGATTAATATTGACCTTTTTTGTATTTAAAAATAATAACGGCTCGCCATTATTGGTTCCATCCCGATAGCGGAACCAGTAAAAGCGTTGTTGCAACCGGGACATTTGGGAGATGCACCATTAACTTTTTGTCTGGAAAATATGAGCAAGTGTAAATGGAACGAAAATTGGCTCCAGCCAAGAGTTTTCTCCATGGCTAAAACTAGGGAACATACATGAGGCACAGTGGATTTTGTGCAAGAAGCGATTCAAGCTCGGAACGATGGGAATTAAGGCAAAACACAGAGCGTCAAAATCGAGTTACCAAGAAACAGCCGGTATTTCTCTGTTTTGTTCCACCCTTGTCTCTGCAACGCCTCCACTTATCACCAAATCAAACATACTAAGAAAACAATACAAAGAAAAATAGCTGCAAAAAAGACTGGTTATGTTGGGGCTTTAAAACTGATTTGTTTTGTTCCCTGCTAAAACAAAGTTTATGAATTCAGTTAAATAATTGTTCAAATATATCTGTCATTTGTGTGTTTTTAGCTTTCTTCCTGTATGGGAAGCTTTTCAAATTTGAAACATTAGTGCAGTGGTTCATGTTAAAATAAACCTTTGGGTAAAGTTGTCGCAAGCGGGTTTTTCTTGTGTTTCTTGTGAATTTGGTCTTAAATTTTTATTTCAAGTGGCATTAAAAAGTCTTGAATTTAACTTGCCTTATGCTTTAGGAACCCTGAAAATACTTGTATGGTGTTTTATCTGGGAGATATCAGGCCAGATATATAATCAGATGTGTGTGGCACGGTGGTGGCGTCCTCAATGCGGGTCATGCATCTGAGCTGTTGACCACGTGTCTTTGCTATCTCTCTAAACCGCATTTCTTGTATATCTACTTTCAAAATAAAATTATGAAAGCCTAAGAAAAGAAATAAACTCTAAAAATCATGTTTTTTTGTTGCCAGAATGTCCACACAAATGGTATTCGGTAAATACAAAAATTAGGAGCCAAAGCAGAACAACATGTGATTCAAGTTGCTATTTAGCCATTCGCAACATGTACGTTTTTTAGACCAACAATCTGCTATTTAGAATGATGTGGTAATTGTCTAATCGCAGGTTTGTTCAAAGGTTTACTGCTGATTCTGCTCTCTTTTAGTGAAAACCATGCAACCAATACAAGGATCTCGGCTGATAATAATATCTGTTATTGATATCACTCTGTTAGCCGACCTTTACGGATATTATATATATTTTCCAGCCGTACATCTTGACATTGCCTCTCCTTCAGTTAAAAAAACACAATTCTTCACTTCCACTTTTCATCTTGCTGACAAATGCCAAAAAGATGGACAAGAATCTTCTACATATCAGGCCAATATTAATAAATTAAAATTTTTGTCACACCAACAGTAACAATGCTATATCAATCATCCCTGAAAGGAAGATAAAGGAATGACATTTAGAATATTTTTGTATTGAACCCTAAATGGGCATGAAGTGTTTCCATAAGATTCTTTAAGTACAGAAGAAAAAAACAGTAACTTTGCAGTGGTTTGTTCAGCCTTTCTGGACTTGCGTTTCAGTTTCTTCCCAAGTAGCTCATTGACTTTAGCCTCGTGAGACCATCCTGATCTCGCGAGCTTTCAAGGTGTCACTCGCAGATCAGTCTGGAGACTCTCCGTTAAAGAAAATTTGGAGCCGTTCACCAAACGAACGTCCAATCAGCGTTGGCTTTGAGGCGGGTTGAGGTGTGACGCAACGAGAAGCGCGACAGAGTCTAAAGAACATGGCGGCTTCAGCCGATGAAACTAGCGTTAGCGTGGCTATCGAGCAAGTTTTATCTGAATTACAGAGTATTTCTTCACTGAAAGAAGAGCAAAACACTGCTCTGGAGGCTTTTATCAGAGGAAAAGATGTTTTTGCTCTTCTCCCGACTGGTTTCGGCAAGAGTAGCCTGGCTTGTGGTTGTGTTTCCGTCGTTGCTCCGTTAGTACGTCATATGCTTCGTTGATCTGATTGGTTTATTTGGCCCGTCTGTCACCAACATAGGCCAATCAGCTAACCAGTATTTTCACCCCTTCCCAAAATTACTTCAATGGAAGGTTTCCAGATGGATATGTGGAGCAAATCCATCTGGCGGAGTCAGGTTACATTGACTTAACCACAAAATAGTTCCTACAACTTTTAGATAAACTTTTAAATTAATCTTTAGATCTGTCTGTCTGCCAATTAACACTATAAGTTAACAGTCTCTTCCTATATGTTGCTCTTGTACAAGCTTCATGTTTCTTTTTGTTCCCTCAGATTTTAAAGGCAGCATGAAGGGAACTCCTTTTCTACTCCTGAATTACTTCCTCTAAAGAGTTTTATAATCTCCCCCCCCCCCCCCCATTGTCTCTGCCTGACAGCTCTGTTGTTTGGGCCTGTCACTCTGCAGGCTGAAAATGCTCATCAAAGTACTGAAGCCCTCTCTCCTCACCGAGGAATCATTCAGTACAATTCAGTTCTGTTCAAATAGCACAAACTCAAAACAGATGTCATCTCGAGGCACTTAACAAGAAAAACAGACCGGGTTTGTATACAGAAATATATACAGTTATCAAATGATTTATGTTCATACAGATCCTGTGCAGACTTTCATATTTTGAAAGGTTTTTTATTAAATTAAATATATAATAAATGTAATCATAATATAAGCAACTTTTAAATGCTAGTTTATATAGCTAAAGTATAATATGTATACTTTTACATTCCAGTTATGTTTGTTATTTATATATATTTTTTAGACAAAAATAAAACAGTGGACGAACTTTGCCCCAGAGGCATTTATTACAAATAGCTTTAGCCCGGGGTTCTAATCAATAATACTGCACAATCAACAGAACCAATAACTATTTAATGGCTAACAGCTACTGCCTGTAATGGACCCTCACTGAGCTAAAGTCCTCTGTGTTTAGCATTTGCCTGCTTGTCTGATTCACAAACGCTTCTGATTTGTTTGGATGCCTGCTTCTGTACCCAGCAAGCAGCGGCTTCTAATGGCAAAGCTCTAAAAGTAAGTCAAGTAGCTCTAAAAAGCTCCTTGACTTGCCAGATGCACCAGGTTAGCATGAGAGTGGTAAATTTCCCCTGGGAATCAGCAGAGAGCAAAAACAAAGTGGAGAAAGAAGTGGCTATTGGATTTGCATTCATTAAATGGGCGCAAACCTGACTCAAAACAAACGCTAAGGTTGCTTCTAATCTGCTTGTTTGTTAGTGAGCGACTGGTTCCTAATTGATTCTTTAATGAAGTTATTGTTTCTTTGGTCATTTCTTACATGATTGCCAATTACTGACAGGAAATCCTAATTTACTGCACTCATCTGTATTGAACAGCTCAAAACCATCATTAAGGAGGAGCTGAAGGGCACTAAATTCACAGACTGAACAAGGGTGCGCACGTGTGAAAGAGACTCGAGGTGTAAAGTGCTCTGAGTGGTTGATAAGACCAGAAGAGGGTTATGTAAATGCATTTACCATATCAAACCCGAGTGGTTCAGGAACTGATTTAATTATTTATGTGTGTGTGTGTGTTTGTGTAGTGGCCATGTACAGGGAGCCCTCCCTCCACGACCTGACAGAACTCTCGCGTTCCGGCAGCGGCACGCCGACCAAGAGCCGCAGTGCTTCAGCCCTTCTCAACGGCGGAGGCAAGATGCGCAGCAACGACGACCTATCCTAGCCTCTCGACATTCTCACTGATGCTTTTCAAACACGAGTACTCATCCCAACAGGAACAAACACTCACCCACAAACAAACACAGATCTCAGGCCAACATTCCCATTACTTGTGAAAGGTAGGAGGAGTCGAGGTCACAAAGCAGGAAGAACAAGATCTTCCTCTTCTCAGAGCCCACTGTGACTGACTGTGATGTACATAAATCAAGGACAATCAAACCTTTTTGGCTCTACTTGCCCTGGCAATGGAGGGGGGGGGGGGGGGGGGGGGGGGGGCTTTGCAGACTGCTTCCCTCCAATCCTTACAAGATATTACAGAAAGGGGAGAAAGACAAAGAAAGGACAGACAAGTTCAGTCAGTCACACACTAGGTTCAACAGACTGTTACAGAGAACCAAAGAGTTAAAGTATTACATAACTGGGTTTAAAAGAGGACAGAGAGTTACATGGAGTTGAAAAAGTGGGGAGGACAGTAGATATACAGGTGCATGTCAATAAATTACAGGTTAAAAGGTTTGTTTATTTTCTTCAATAATTCAGGTCCAAGAGTTATAACACAAAATATAAATTTACTGGTTGTTTTAGGTTAATTTCTCAGTCCATTGCATATCATAAAGTTCAATTTAAAGAATAAATGTTAAGTCATTTTTGTGGACCTTTTCTACTTACTTTTTCCTTCTCTTTATTTTCCTGCTATATGATTGGATAAAGCACTCTTTGCACAGCCAGGCTCTTTTTTTTTTTTTTTTCAAAATCTTTTTATTGAAAAGTCAGAGGTAGAAACAGTAGATTGTCTTCATGGTTACAAAAGACTCCTTTTTATAAACTTTATACACATTCAAAAACCACACCCTCCCCCCACCCAGACTGGACCCAAAAATAATAGCAATTTTTGTGCCAGGCAGGTTCTTAAGCAGTAATTTTATGGCTTTCACTACTTTTGGAGGTTATCAGAGAATGTCTACTGGTTAGCTGTTAAGTCAGCAGTCTTCATTGTCCTCTAGGCTAGAAAAACAAGGGAAAACCAGAACATGTTTAATCAATGATGAGCTGGCTGTTGTAATCTAGCATATTGGAAAATAGGGAGGAAGGAAAAACTGTGGTAGAAAAGAGCTGTACAAGCTGTATGGATACAAAAAAAAAAAAACACCCTTAGATCATATTTTAATTGTGTGAATTAGACATGTTTGGGTTTTTTCCCCTAAATACAAGTCATGCATTTCCCCCTATGTGCAATGCATGTACATTCATTTCTTGTTATGAGTTGAACTAAAGGAATCAATTCATTGAAATGCGCCTGTACTCTGCTGTATGCTATGTTTACACACAGCTCATGGGGTTAAGTCATATTTTCAAAAACGATGGACGCAGTTCCTTGTAAAAGTACGAGGATCATTACGTTTGCATGCATGTGCGCCCGTGTGTATGCGTGAGCGTGTGAGAGCTGTGTTTGCAGTAGGCGTGTGAGAGCGCACACGCATGTGTCTTCTACCTTTTTAAGATCTGTTATATATCAGACGAACCTCCCGAGGGCTTCAGCAGGTCACATGTAAGGTTTACTGTATATGCTTCCATGCTCACTTCTTACAGGCGACACTGTTGTTTACCTTTCCGTTGGTAGCTGTCGTCCTTTGCTGTTTGTTTGTTTGTTTGTTGTTGCATGGAAGCTCGTTGACCTCTGCTTAGTAGCAGCATGCTGAAGGTCCCCCCCTGGCCTTTTTTTTTTTTTTTTTTCCTTCTTCCCTCCCAGGTCTTTCATGTTAACAACCACAAGAAAAACACTAGTGAGAAAATAGTGTGAAACCAGAACACTAGTGAACCAATGTGAGGGTGATAGAACACTACTGGACCAATAGTATTGCACCATAACATGTGTGGACCAATGGTGTTGAACCAGAACTTTGGTAAACCAATGGGAGCACAGATTAACTTCATATTTTGGTTCCTGCTGTGGACAAACTAGAAATGTACTAAATAAACTTTGTAAAGAAGCAAACAGACTGTTTTTGTCTATGTTTTATCCACATCTGGGTGATATAAATGTCATTAGTGTTTACATTGTTCAAACATTCCTTTTTCAGGTTGGACTCACGATACAAGCTGCTAAAGATTTTCAAAACAGGAGACAGGAACACAAGCAACATGGATGCAAGCAACATGGATATTGATGAATGCATAAAGACTTCGGTATACTCAAACATTTTCACAAATAAGGACTTTCTGAAGCAATCACTGAAGTCCTGGCATCCATCTGACTGGATTTTTGACCATTCTCCTCTTAAGACAACAAAAAAACCAACTAAATTGACCCATATGTGTTAGTATGTCGCCATTGGTGCAGCTTTTAATCATAACCCATGGATTTTATATCATGTTAAGGTCAATGATTGGAGTGGCCAATAAGGAAGCATTTCAAAATTAATTTTAATGTTAGTTTGGGATCATTGTCCCAATTTCTAAACATCTTACCCAAACAATACTTTCACAGTTCTTAGGAAAATGGCTTTAACAAACCAAAATAACCATTATTCTAATGTCAAACATTAGTGGACTGAAGCACTGCTGATCAAGAACGATAAACCAATCAACACCTGAACACTGAGTGAAAAACATCTTATGTTCAGATGAGGAAAAGATTAAAATATCTCCACAATAACAGAAGTCAGGATGAGGCTTTCAAACCCAAAACGAAAGCAAGGCAGTGGCATCATTATGCCAAGACTCTTTTGCTGCTGCATTGCAATGAATTGGTGGAATAATGAATGTTTTTCGTTTGATCTGATTATTCCATCTTTTCTTAGACGTCTCTTCCTGTGCTGTACAGATTAGTCTATTGTGTATTTTGCCCATTTGCCCTGCAACTGACATGCACAATCTGCCCCACTGTGAGACAACAGCATTTCTGTGATATTGTATCCTACAGGGAAGGAGGAATAAAATCAGGATAATTACACAGGAACACTGGTTTTAGACTGGTTAAACCTGGCTAAAGTTGAGCTTCTGAAATAGAAGCGGCCGCAGTACAATATGAGGTAGAGTGGCAATGAAGGCAGTCCTGACAGTCATTCATTCAAAACTACGAAATAAAAATATTTTTGTCATAAAACCATTTCTTTGTATTATATAAGCCATCAAACGGCTACACTGATAACTAAAAGCTAAAAATAAATGTGAAATTAGTTACATTTATAGTTGAATGCAAACTTCTGACTATAGGTTTATTGGACATTAAGTAAGCCAACTTATTCGATTAAACATTTTGTCTGAGTAGCAGCCTTTCTGCAGCCAACAAGGCATTCTCACTACACATAATGTCCTTTTAAAAGAAACCGAGGAGAACTTCTGATGAAGACAAAAGAGAGGGAAAAGCAGAGGCTGCTTTTAAAAGGGAACAAAAGCATTAAGATAGCATCTATTAAATACAATATTTCGAAATTAGGGTCCTGTACCTGTTTTATTTTGGTTTCGCCACCAGATGGTGCTTTTAGGTGCATGCTTTAACTTAACTTTAGGTTCCTCATTTAGACTATATGACCATTCAGAAGGCTTAGGAAGTTAAACAGAAAAAAATGACAATAAAAAAGGAAAGGTCTCTTAAAAACAATCGTTTATTCCAATATGCATGGTTTGTTCACATCTGTGCAATGACCATAACGAGCAGACAAGGCATTTTTTTTCTTCTCAAATAGTTTGCCTACAAGGGGTAATGTATGCTATAACTGAAACAGTAAGCGAATTACAAATACAGCATAAAGTGCAAAAGTTGAATCTATATTTATATATATATATATATATATATATATATATATATATATATATATATATATATATAAACATACAATGTTTAAGGTAATCATTTCACATTACAGCAATAAACATTGGTTTATTTATTTCAGGTACAGTGTCACACTAATATATTTCTTCCACAGACAATGATAATTTAGATTTTTTTTTTTTTTCCACTTTCAATTTTCATTTACATGATTTGATTAAATAAAATGTATTGAATATCAGAAGGAAGTCTTTCCCTGTTTGTCTAACCTACAGTAAGAATCATCCTTCTCTCCCTTTACTGTGCAGGTCGGTCCAACATCTGTCCAACATGCTTGATTTTGCAACTTTGTGAAAAAAAAAAAAAAAAAAAACCCTGTAAACATGCATGAACACGACTTACTGTAACTCCTGGTTAGAGCATACATCAATACTGCGCTGGTTTTAATTGGTCAAGTCTGTCACATTTACAGTAGTCTGGTTAGCATCACCATATTTGTGCATTTCCTTTATGTTAAAGGAAAACACTCTATCCTCTTTATTCTGTTCTTCTCTTTGTCTTCACCAATATGCAGTCTTCTCATTGCTTCTTCTACATTCTCCAAGCAAAACAAACAGGTTTCTCTTTGCTCTCCATGGTTCTGTAAAGTCTAGGTCCCCTTCTTCGACTCCCACTCCTGAAAAGAGTGATAAGGCACATGTCAGAAATAAGCTTTGGATTAGATTTAGACTAAAGAACTCATTATGACTGATCAATCAATCAGACCCATTTAGTTTTGATATATAAACCTTTAACCTTTAAAACCTTTAGACTTGTTTTGTTTGGGTGAAGATGTCAGGAGGAAGGCAGTATTCCATCCTCCAACAGCATAGGCAGTGAACAGGGCATTAAACTCTAGGTCGGCAACTACAGGGGGCATTGAACTATACTATAAGTGTGGTTTGGATGGTGTACACTGCAAAAAATGGAAATCTAATATTTTTTTCTTAAAACAAGTACTTTTTTCTTGAATTGAGGAGGCAAGTGAGACATTTTGCAGATGGAATAAGACAATTTACATTTAAAGTAAGAAAAACATTTTTTTTATTGTCTTATTTCAAGTGCATATTATCTAACTGTCTTATTTTAAGAGCAAAAAAACTAATTCCATTGGCAAATCATCTCATTTACCTACTAAAATAAAGGGTAAATACACTTAATCTAAGACATTTTTATTTATTTATGGATAGCTTTTGCAGTGTAAGTACAGTAAGGATGGGTTCAGGGTGTAAAGGAACTTTTTCCGTCCATTTATCCTTTAGTAACTATAATAACAAATAAAGGATTCACCATCAAAAACCAAGCTCCTTAAGGCAGTACAGAAGATGATCTGCAAAAAATTTATTTAATCAGACCAGAGAGCAGCTGTTGCCACTATGCCTAACCATTCTTGCCCTCAGTCCAACTAATTGAAATTTCTTTAGTGCCTCAAATATTACTTATTATTTAATTATCCTTTTAATTATTAAAAAAAACACACTTTCAGATAAATATCAAGCTTAGAAAACTCTTTCTTCAATATAAAAGAACAGCTGTTTTGGGCTGTAGTAAAACAAGATGGTTTCCAACCAAAAGACGGATCAATAACAGATCATTAAGAATATACCTGTTGTGCGAATCAGAGGCAGTTATTCAATAAAAAAAATTGTTATTATGTCTGTATTTTTGGTTCTTTATCCTTTTTTTATTTAAAGTTAACGCCACTGTGGAAGGTCTGAGGAGCCGATTTACCTTTGCCTTCTGCATGACGTTCCCCCTGGAGGAAGCGCAAAGAGATGGGGGGCGTTTACGAAGCTCAGATGCCGAGTTAACGGGAATGTTGTCATTGTAAACTTTTTCAACTTTATTTCCAGAAGTCTGCAAACAGAGAAAAATGCACATGGAAACATGCTGTAAATGTGAAAAAAAAAAAAAAATCTTTACCAATAAGATAAAGGTCATCTTTTCACAACCAGAAAACTCAGTGAGCACAGACACAAACAGGTTTTAATGTCATGCTTTAATTATTTTCATTCTTGGGAATTGTATTGGTTTAGATATGCACAGCAAATGCAATGCAGATTATGTTATTTAAACTGTTCCAATCTTATTGCATCACTTAATTTTCTCCAAAGGTTGATTTAATGCTTTAGGTCTCAACATGCCTGTGTATTTATTTTTACTTAGTTCTACTTATATTCAGAGGTGTCTTACTCATCAATTAAACAGATCATTTTTGAACCACTGAGAATTTTAATTTTAATATTACATTTCCTTAACAATCAAGAGCTAGTTGGTTTAAATGTGATATTCTTTATCGAATATATTTACTCGGTTTAACTTCTTCTTTGTAGTTTTTATTCATAACTATTTGTACTTTTATTTAGTGTCAATTTGATGTTTTATTTCCAAAATAGTTATGTAAAGAATTTGTGGATTCCAACCTTGACGCTAATTTTCGTCTCCACCGGTGGTCCCAGAGCTCCTCTAGCCAGAGATTTCTTCAGATTTTCTTTGACTTCTGTCAGTCGGAGCTCCAGCTCCACCCTCTCCTCCTCCTTCTGTTTGCACATTGTCTCTATCTCCGCTAACCGCTTTTCCATAGCTTCACCTATAGATACAAACACACGATGATATTTAGTGATAAAATAGAAAGCAGGTTTCTTAGGAATGCTGCCTGATGCTTGTCTGACCTGTGTCACTCTTCATTTGCTCCTTCACCCCCTTCCTTTCCCTACGGAGGGAGATCAGTGCATTTCTCAGCTCCTCCTTTTCCTTCTCCAGCTCCTCTTTCTGTCTAAGGTACCTCCTGGCGTCTTCCTCTGCACGCATCTTCCCATAGCGCCCATACTGATTCACATCTAAAGGAAGAAAATGAATAGCCAGCAAAATGCTGCCGATGAAAATCAGTCCATCATGTAAATCACCTCATGATCTGGAGGGTAAAGCCAGCTGTGGGAACATTCTCTACACTGAATTTTTTATGCAGTGAGACCCATGAATTATGAAATAAAAGGTGACTCACTGGAGGCGTGCCTCTTGATGGTAGCCTGTTGTTCGGTTTTTTCGGAGTCCCTGCTGGAGAAAGAGGCATGACGCCTCACCTGACCTGCTGTGCTCTCAACGTCCTCGTCCTGCGGTTAGAAAAATAAAACACTTTACTGATTTCCACAGTGATTCGTGATGGTTTCGAGCTCACAGAGCAAAGCGGAGGACTTTGAGTTGAGACAGTAAAAAAAAATAAATAAAATAGACCAGGTCTCTTAAAAACGGATGCAATCAAAATTTATAGACAAAACTTGTTTTTCCTCTTTTTTTGATTTTCGTCACAATAAAATGCATCAGACCATTAAACAGAATTTAACCTCAGGCAAACAAAGCCTGAGTAAATAAAAGAAATGTTGCTTTTAAATGATGATTTCAGCTGTTGGTAGATGAAAGGGCTTTTCAAACCAAACTGACTCAACATAAAAAGTAATTGGCCCTAAACCTAATAATAGTTTATGCCATCCATTGCCTCCATTGATGCAAACAAACAGCATAAAGTGTTTGTGAATTTGGGAAACTAGGCCCAGTCTTTTATGCACATGAGCATTTCTGAGGGCCTTTCAGCATCACTAATTGCCAGACAATTTCCTTCAGAGTTTTCTGGTACATAATAGAATTAAATGTTCTCTGCATTACAGGAAGTGCCTAGTTTATTAGTTAGCAAAGACAGCCACCATCTTTGACTTTTTATACAAAAGTATTTTTCAAAAAATGATGCACAACGTTCCCTTTTAGTCTTGGCATTCTGCAGAATATTTTTTTTTTCATATCTCGGGGATCATCCTTATATTTTTTTTTGGCAAATGTAAGATGTACCTTTCTGTTCCTTTTAGTCAGCAGTGTTTGTAGCTGAAGAAGCCTAAAATGGATCTTATTGTTGTCTTGCCTCCTTATTATATCATAATCACTGTCCATAAGTGAGACAATAAGGCAGTGCTTTAGATGCTGTTCTGGGTTCTTTTTCACCTCCTGGCTGAGTCATCAATGTTCTAGAGTATTTCTGTTGGTCAGCCACTAATGGGTGAGTTTACTGAGATTAATTGCTCTCAAGGTGGTTTTATGAAATCCCAAAGACTCAGAGATTACCTTGTACCCAGTGTTTGGCAAGTTGCTTCCAGAATGTAATATATTTCATTTTAAAAGTTACCTTTTTTAGAAAGTAATATGTTTCTTTACAAAATTATCATCTGTGTAAAGTAATGAGTTACTGATTACTTCTAAGTCACTAATAAACAATTAGGACAAGGCATTACAAAATGAAGGTGCACAATAATCAAATAGCTGAATCACAGAAATGTAATGATATAGAATTAAACAAAAACCATGAAAATGAAACAAGCTTTTTTTCAATTCCTCATGTATTAGCTTCTAAGTAAAGTGCAGTCACACAAGATTTAACAAAAAAAGTCACATTTCAATGAAATTAAACATGACGGTAGTTTATCATAATTCAATATTAATATCAGTATTAATTAGCGTAAGTATAGCCACTTGGAAAACGTTGAACTGCTGTAGCCATCTTCTTCTAATGTTTTAAAACTGTCTTCTGATGTTTTAAAACAATTTTCTCCTGATATAAAAGTCAGTGTTTTTCTCCTTCATTACACTGTCACAAGTACAGATCAAAGAAATGAACTCTCTGCATTTAACCCATCCCCTTGGGGAGCAGTGGGCTGCCATTGTGCGGCGCCCGGAGAGCAGTGTGGGGTTAAGAGTCTTTGTTTGTCATTTCTTTTTAAGTCTTGAAGCCTACTTCGTTTTGTCAGACACATTAAGCACTTTATTTAGTTAATACAAAGGACACGATTGCTTTTCTCATTGTGGTCAGATTAAATGGTAAACGGCCTGTACTTATATAAAGCTTTTTCAAGTCAAGAGACTTGACCAAAGTGCTTTACACTGCATTCAGTCGTTCATCCAATGATGGTGGCAAAATACATTGTAGCCAAAGCTTCCCTGGGGCTCACTGACAGAAAGCGAGGCTACCGTACACTGGAACACCGGGCCCACTGAACACCCTCAGTGGGCAATTTGGGTGAATGACATTCAAAGCTTGAGCCAGGTCTTGGGCAAACTCCTGCCCTCAAATTGATTTAGTTTGTAATAAATTAACTTATTAATTCAGATCAAACAGGTAGAGATTTAAAGATTTAAAGGTTTCTCACTGCAATGCTTTCGTAGACTTCATCATAAGTTCTGGAATCTACTGATGCACTGCTGGAGGAGGTAGCAGTGGTAGTAGCCCACCTACCAGAGGAAAGAACAGAAGAATCGTTAAACTGAAGTTAACTCTGCAGTAAATGCATTCCTACTCAGTCAGAAGTGACTCACAAGAAGGAGTGTCTGGCAGCGTGCCGTATGTCGGTCAGTGTGTCCACGTCGATGTAGTCGTAGTGGAGCTCTTCAGGGAGGGTGGTGCTGCCAGTCTCGGCAAACAAAAGGCCCAACCAGCGACCAAGATCTTCAGAGGAGCTTGCCTTATGAACACACAAGTAGAAACAGAAATATTGATATCGAAATAAGGCTAGATTTAAAAAAAAAGCTGGTTCTGGCTGAATAATACACATCCTGTCTTTATTCACCATCTGGATCTAAAAGGATATGAAGAAAAGCATGAAAAACACATCCGTCCACTTACATGTAAATTCCTCTGCCAGATGAAGTTGTTTTAGATGTCTCAGTGCTGCTTAAATGTTTCTTACCAAACTTAACAGGAATCCTATTTATATTAATATGTTAAGCTATTTTTAGAAGTTCATAAATATGGCACTATTTTAGAAACGGACAATGTAGACCCCTTTTTTCTGAATCTTGAATAGAAAGAGAAATCAGAATCCAGTTTACTGCCAAGTAGGTTTGCACTTACAAGGAATGATGGTGAATACAAATTATATGTATATATATATATACCCAGATAATACTGGATCTATAGCTATATCCAATATAAATACAATATACTCTATACAATATGTAATACATAGCTATATACTATATACATAGTAGGCTGTGCATTATTGTAACGCAGGTCTGGAGATGCTACGTTAGTGTAGCTTCTAGGTCCTAAACGGGAGAGGTAGACAGGCAGTGTCAATGTCACGGGGGTTTCTGGGCCTTGTTGATAAGGCTGGTAGCGGATGGGAAGAAACTGCCCTGATGGACTTCAGCCCCCTGCCAGAGGGAATTGACTGAAATAGTTTGTGGCTGGGGTGCGAGGGATCTAATCTCATTTTAAATTTCTATGAGTTCAACAAACTGAATGCTATTATTAAAAACAATATCTAGATAAAAGTATCAGCATTTTTCCCAACTCAACTTCATAAATCTGTGATTTACTACTCAATAATTATGAAGTAAAATTTTTACTTGTGATTCACAAATTCAATTATTTTGACAAAAAAAACAATAAAGTCTCTAAATTCATAGCTGTCTGAGTGAGTCAAAGGGAAAACAAATGTTTTAAAGAAGTTATTAATATTGTTTCTTTGGTAAAGATCATACTCTGTTGTGGAATATTTTAAATTGTCTTATATGACCGCTATGTTTGTAATTCTAGCAGCTGCAGATCTTAAAATAACAGCATAGATATACAAGACTAGAGGTCAACTACATTCAGGGATATTGCTCTCCAGATTGCTAAACTAGAAATACTAAAACTGCTCTTTGAATCATTTGTTCCCCCTGCTCTCAATGATTTAATGACATTCGTTATTAACATAATTGATTCTATTAAAAATAAGATCATTGGCATCCCTCTAACTATAAATGGTTAATCTCTAGAAGGTTAGGCAGCATTTGAGGTAACTATGGAACCCAAACTGTGTTGGACTGTTTTTTTTTTTTTTTTTTATCCAGCTGAGCTTACAGAGTTAGCAAAAAAATTATCTTCATATAAAACTTCAACTTGTAGGTTTGATCCAGCTCCAACCAAGTTATTTAAATAGAATTTCCTCTGATTTCCTCCTCTATTTTAGATATGATAAATCTATCCCTCAGTCTTGTGGGGCGACAGTGGCATCAGATGAAGGGGTTTGCCCTGCAACTGGAGGGTTGTCGGTTCAAGCCCCGGCTTCTGCTTTCAGTATTGTGTCCTTGGGCAAGACACTCCACCCGCATTGCCTGCTGATGGTGGTTGGAGGGACTGGTGGTGCCAGTGTACGGCAGCCTAGCTTCTGTCAGTGAGACCCAGGGAAGCTGTGGCTACAATGCAGCTTGCCACAATCAGTGTATAAATGGGTGTAAACATGTAGTGTAAGGCGCTTTGGTCTAGTCCTCTGACTTGAAATAGTGCTAAAAGTAAAGGCCACTTAACCATTTACTATCAGACAACATAAGATTAATTTCCTATCTTATGCTGATAATACTCAGTCATATTTGTCCATAGATCTTGGTAAACTGGGTGCCTGTAAACTTTTTGCTTCTGAACGCAGACAACACAAATGTATTTTTATTTATTTGAGGATCTCTTTGAAAATAAGATCTTTCACCTCAAAAGGGCTTTTCCTGGTCCTCTTTTAAGACTAGCCATAAAACCTTATAATTAAAAAAAATATATATATCTTGTATGAAACAACAAGGATAATCAGAATCCAACATGAAGGAAAGTTACCTCCAAAGCTGCCAGCTCATTGCCACCTTGCATGATATGAAATGAGAAGGGATGTTTGGGTCCTAAACCCCCTGGAACCACCTCTGCCCCCTTGAGGGGCACCACAATGACTGGAGGCCGCTGGTCACCAGGGTCCTTTTGCAAGTATAGGTTTCCACCTCGGAGAATGCACCAGCGCGCCTTCCAAGAGCCACTTAGACACACGCTGAGATAACCTGTGGAGAGGGTTGGGTAAAAGCAATCACTCTTTGTGTCAGATAAGCTCCCTGAAGTTATTATTCTGTGACGCCACATTAAATGCTCACTGCATTAACTAAGAACCTGCCTGCTTCTTCCCAAGAAAGTCAAAAGCCTTGTTTGGCTCTAAGCAACATATTCGTCAATTATTCTCAGGAGATGTTGAAATCGAAATAAATTTAATAACTGGAGGACTTGAAGTTTTAATGCATAACAGCTACATATCTGAATCATACACTCACCGGCCACTTTATTAGGTACCCCATGCTAGTAACGGGTTGGACCCCCTTCTGCCTTCAGAACTGCCTCAATTCTTCGTGGCATAGATTCAACAAGGTGCTGGAAGCATTCCTCAGGGAGTTTGGTCCATATTGACATGATGGCATCACACAGTTGCCACAGATTTGTCGGCTGCACATCCATGATGCGAATCTCCCGTTCCACCACATCCCAAAGATGCTCTATTGGATTGAGATCTGGTGACTGTGGAGGCCATTTGAGTACAGTGAACTCATTGTCATGTTCAAGAAACCAGTCTGAGATGATTCCAGCTTTATGACATGGCGCATTATCCTGCTGAAAGTAGCCATCAGAAGTTGGGTACATTGTGGTCATAAAGGGATGGACATGGTCAGCAACAATACTCAGGTAGGCTGTGGCGTTGCAACGATGCTCAATTGGTACCAAGGGGCCCAAAGAGTGCCAAGAAAATATTCCCCACACCATGACACCACCACCACCAGCCTGAACCGTTGATACAAGGCAGGATGGATCCATGCTTTCATGTTGTAGACGCCAAATTCTGACCCTACCATCCGAATGTCGCAGCAGAAATCGAGACTCATCAGACCAGGCAACGTTTTTCCAATCTTCTATTGTCCAATTTCGATGAGCTTGTGCAAATTGTAGCCTCAGTTTCCTGTCCTTAGCTGAAAGGAGTGGCACCCGGTGTGGCCTTCTGCTGCTGTAGCCCATCTGCCTCAAAGTTCGACGTACTGTGCGTTCAGAGATGCTCTTCTGCCCACCTTGGTTGTAATGGATGGTTATTTGAGTCACTGTTGCCCTTCTATCAGCTCGAACCAATCTGGCCATTCTCCTCTGACCTCTGGCATCAACAAGGCATTTCCACCCACAGAACTGCCGCTCACTGGATGTTTTTTCTTTTTCGGACCATTCTCTGTAAACCCTAGAGATGGTTGTGCGTGAAAATCCCAGTAGATCAGCAGTTTCTGAAATACTCATACCAGCCCTTCTGGCACCAACAATCATGCCACGTTCAAAGTCACTCAAATCACCTTTCTTCCCCATAATGATGCTCGGTTTGAACTGCAGGAGATTGTCTTGAGCATGTCTACATGCCTAAATGCACTGAGTTGCCGCCATGTGATTGGCTGCTTAGAAATTAAGTGTTAACAAGCAGTTGGACAGGTGTACCTAATAAAGTGGCCGGTGAGTGTATATTACCATGGTTCTTTAAAATTTTTTTTATAATTCAGTTATTTACATGTCTTTTCAAAAATTTCAAAGCATAATTTCAGATCATTGCAAAATGAGGATTGGTTCATCCAATCAGAAACAGCTTCTTGCTGAGTTTAGGGCCTCACCACAGCGGGGGTTGTCATGGAGGCCAGAGGACGAGGGAGGGTCCCCTGGTAACGGAGGTTTCTTTTTGGAGAATGTGATGATCCGATTGATTTTCTTTCCTGCTGCTCGGCTCATCGACCCAGTCAGCTCTGAGAACGCGCCCCGCTTCCCCCTGTCTGAAGAAATACATACACCTCAATGAAACATTATTGCCACTTATTATGATTAGGTTACATTAATATAATTCAGGTCTTTGTTTACCAAAATACACAGATATCATGAATAAACCTTAAAAACCCAGCTTTTAATATCCTGAGCTATCGCTATAATTATGCTGCTATAGGCTTAGACTTCTGGAGGACATAGGGATCCCCATTTCATCACTTTGCTTCATTCTATCTCTATTCTCCCACTCTGCAGAATCTGTTAGTTAAATCCCTAACGTTCTGCTCTCTTTGCTTTTTCTCATAGTAGCTTTGCCTCGCCTGTTCCTGTTTGGCTGTGACTCCATCCTGGAGAGAAATATCAGCTGTGCTGCTGCCATCAACACTTTTGTTTATGGATGTTGGAGATTGGCCTGTTTTTCAGTGTAGGCCTGTTTCTCTGACTGTGACTGGCTGGATGTGCTCTCTTCATCCTCTGACATCAGAGTTGGCTCCGGGCTCATCTGCCTGGCTGTGTGTTTCCTGGACGGGGGCGCCTTTTACTGCTGCTTTTTGTATCTCTGCTTCTGTCTCCTTGAACCCCAGTCGGCCTCAGCAGATGGCCGCTCACACTGAGCCTGGTTCTGCTGGAGGTTTCTTCCTGTTAAAAGGGAGTTTTTCCTCTCCACTGTCGCTATAAGCATGCTTAGTGTGAGGGATTGCATTCGAGTCAATGAGTGGATGCAATCAACTGGTTTTCCTTAGATAGAAAACTTTGAATGAAATTGACTGTATGATCTGGTGAACTGTAGAGTGCCTTGAGATGACGTGTGTTGTGAAATGGCACTATAGAAATAAACTAAATTGAACTGAATATATGTAAGTCAATAATTTTTTGCAGACGTCTCTGATGATTTCAGACAATTTAAATGGGATTGCAAGTTTACTGTCAATGGACCAGGTGCAGCAGCAGTCTTTTCACCAGGCTTCCTATGATGTCAGTGGCAGACAATTACAGGAAGAGAACAGGAAGGATGTCATATCTGCTAGTGCCTTGCTTCCTGTCTCTCCCTTTCTCTCTCTCATGTCTCTTCAGGCTCAGAGTTGCTGGATCAGTAAACAACGCGGAAACAACATGACTCTGTTTGACTTATTGTGCATCATTTATATCCTGGGTGTTTCCTTCCAGCTTTGGATTACAGAAAAACACAAATATTTATTACGCCTTAGAAGCAAGTGTGCTTTCTTATAACTTTTCAGGGAGGTGAGTTCCATTCTCTTAGAGAGGGAGAATAACATAGAAACTACGCAAGTGCTCAAAATTGTTGGTACCGCTCATTTTATCAAAGAAAAACACACAATAGTTACATACCTTCATCTGACAAAACTAATAAATTTAATTTCTATGAAAATTAATTACATGAAATTCGGATATTTGTTTTCAACTATGTTTCAACAGAATGGTTTAAAACATATATTGTAATGGTATACACTATATTGCCAAAAGTATTTGCTCACCCATCCAAATTATTGGAATCAGGTGTTCCAATCACTTCCATGGCCACAGGTGTATAAATTCAAGCACCTAGGCATGCAGACTGTTTTTACAAACATTTGTGAAAGAATGGGTCGCTCTCAGGAGCTCAGTGAATTCCAGCGTGGAACTGTGATAGGATGCCACCTGTGCAACAAATCCAGTCGTGAAATTTCCTCGCTCCTAAATATTCCACAGTCAACTGTCAGCTGTATTATAAGAAAATGGAAGTGTTTGGGAACGACAGCAACTCAGCCACGAAGTGGTAGGCCACGTAAACTGACGGAGCGGGGTCAGCGGATGCTGACGCGCATAGTGCGAAGAGGTCGCCAACTTTCTGCAGAGTCAATCACTACAGACCTCCAAACTTCATGTAGCTCAAGAACAGTGCGCAGAGAGCTTCATGGAATGGGTTTCCATGGGCGAGCAGCTGCATCCAAGCCATACATCACCAAGTGCAATGCAAAGCGTCGGATGCGGTGGTGTAAAGCACGCCGCCACTGGACTCTAGAGCAGTGGAGACGCGTTCTCTGGAGTGATGAATCGCGCTTCTCCATCTGGCAATCTGATGGACGGGTCTGGGTTTGGCGGTTGCCAGGAGAACGGTACTTGTCTGACTGCATTGTGCCAAGTGTAAAGTTTGGTGGAGGGGGGATTATGGTGTGGGGTTGTTTTTCAGGAGCTGGGCTTGGCCCCTTAGTTCCAGTGAAAGGAACTCTGAATGCTTCAGCATACCAAGACATTTTGGACAATTCCATGCTCCCAACTTTGTGGGAACAGTTTGGAGCTGGCCCCTTCCTCTTCCAACATGACTGTGCACCAGTGCACAAAGCAAGGTCCATAAAGACATGGATGACAGAGTCTGGTGTGGATGAACTTGACTGGCCTGCACAGAGTCCTGACCTCAACCCGATAGAACACCTTTGGGATGAATTAGAGCGGAGACTGAGAGCCAGGCCTTCTCGTCCAACATCAGTGTGCGACCTCACAAATGCGCTTCTGGAAGAATGGTCAAAAATTCCCATAAACACACTCCTAAACCTTGTGGACAGCCTTCCCAGAAGAGTTGAAGCTGTTCTAGCTGCAAAGGGTGGACCGACGTCATATTGAACCCTATGGATTAGGAACGGGATGTCACTTAAGCTCATATGTGAGTCAAGGCAGGTGAGCAAATACTTTTGGCAATATAGTGTATCTAGCCTGAAAATCTATACAACCCAACTGACATGTTAAATCAAGGTGTATCCAATAATTGGCATCACAGGTGTCTATGATCTTGTAATCATTCATTTAAATGTAGCTTATTAATATAGCACCAATTCACACACATCATCTCAATGCACTTTAAAGAGACAATAGAGTCAGACTGGTTAAAAGATTCTGTCAATGAAACCAGCTGTTCCTTCTGGATGAGCTTGCTGCAATGATGTTTGCTTGCATTTCGTAGTTGTCTCTTGAGCAATCCCTCACACCAAGCATATATGTAGCAACGGTGGACAGGAAAACATTCCTTAAACAGGAAAGAGGCCTATATATAGGGCTACAGGTAGTCACTGTGCTGTTTGGCGACATGGTGTGTACCACACTCAACATGAACCAGAGGAAGTGAAGGTAGTAGTTGTCTAGAGACATCAGAAAGAAAATTATAGACAACCATGTTAAAGATAAAGACTATCAGACCACCTCCAAGAAGCTTGATATTCCTGTGACTAAAGTTGCATATGTTCTGAAATCTAAGATCCAAAGGATGTGGCTGCAGGAGGAAAACTGATGGCAAAAAGAGACGGATAATAAGAATGGTAACAAGAGAGTCCAGAAAAACTTCAAGGTCAAGAACATCAGTATCAGATCGTATCCTCTGTGATTGTTTAAGCCAAAGTTGACTCAAAGGGACGACCAAGGACGACACCATTGTTGAAAGCAAATCGTAAAAAAGCCAGACTGGAATTTGCCTAATTACATGTTGACAAGCCACAACCTTAAAGGACAATGTCCTATGAAGACAAAAATGTAACTTTTTGCCAAAGCACATTAGTCCTGTGTTCACAGATGAAAAAACTGAGCATATATCAATAAAAGAACACTGTCCCTGCTGTGAAGCATGGAGGAGGATCTGTTTTGTTCTGAGGCTGCTTTGATTCATCTGGCACAGAATCTCTGTAGGCTATTAATGAAATCTCAAGACTATTAAGGGATTTCAGAGAGAAATGTTCTGCCCAGTGTCGGAAGTCCTAGTCTCTTAGTTGCAGGTCATGGATCTTAAACAGGATAATGAACCAAAACATAAAGCTAAAAACACCTAAGAGGAAACCATTGGACTATTCTGACGAGCCCTTCTATGAACCCTGAACTAAATCCTATTGAGCATCCATGGAAGGAGCTGAAACATGCCATCTGGTAAAGGCAGCTAATGAGGAGTGGATCAGAACAGCTGCTGAGAGGAGCAGAAGTCTCATTGACAGTAACAGGAATCATTTGATTCCAGTTATTACCTCGAAAAGTTGTGCAACAGAATTTCCATGAGCTTATTTTCATCAAATTTTGATTTATTATTTTGTCAGATTAAAAATATTTCTGTGACCATTGTCATTGTAGGTTTATCTCTCCTTAAACAAGGGTTACAAACAGTTGTCTCCATTTATGTAAGTTATAGGAATGCAGCTTAACATATTGACACTAGAAAGAACGAGAGAAAATGGAACAGCAGAGGTTTTTATCAGTGGCATAGAGTAGCCTTACAAAGTTTCACCAAAAAATAACAATGGTGTTAATGTATTCAATGACGATTTATACAAATGATTTATAGTTTTATCAATAAAGGGGTCAAAGATGCAAAACCGAGTTTCCTTTGTCATAGACGAATAATGATAGTTCAGTGAGTGAAATGGACGTAAAGAGAAGTTCAAACCCCATCGACACCTCCTTTCTCTGCAAATCTCTCAATTCTAAACTTCCACCATAAAACAGGCGAATCCAAACGAAGCCCTGAATTGACATCAATTCGGGGATGTTGCCTTATTTGGTTCTGCTCAGCTGTTCATTTGCTCGAAGCATTTTACCGTAGACAGCTTTCAAAATCTTGGACAGTTCAAAGCAGGATTTGTTAAACTTCTTTTACTGAAACAAGGGGCTGTTCCGACCGTAAGGCCATCACAACCGCAAACTATAAGTATTATTTGGTCGCTTAGCTGTTGATAGCAATGCTAGCATATCTACGATGACCACGTTTGGATTTCTGAAAAGGAGGACACTTTTTTTGGGGGGGAGTTGGACGACCACTAACTGGACCAGACCGGGTCCCAGCGGGGGAAAGAGCGATGTAACCAAACCCTGTGACAGTATGCTCCCCCACCCCGCACGGGGCCGCCGTTGTCCAGGCTACCATCACCGGTTCAGGTTCTGTCGCTCTGTCCCCCGCTGGCTCCCTGTTTCGACAACGTGCTGCACTGTAGTCGACCAAAATCCCAGACGATTTTGAATTTCCCCCCGGACATTTTCTTGGGTATGAAAAGTAGGACATGTCCGGGAAAAAGAGGACGCCTGGTAACCCTACCATATCAATAATTTTAATGTTTCAGTAAGTGCTTGTTGCTATGATGCATCTTTGTTTAGCAGCTTCGCTCGTTGTAAACCAACCAATCAGCTCACAGCTCATCTAAATATTTATTTTCATACCATAAAAGGAGGAAAACCTTTCGTTTCATTCTGGGGCTTTTAACCAGGCTTGCATTAGGGCTCATAGAACAGCAAATATGCCATTTTCAGCTTAACCAATGTTACACACCCTATTCAGAGACCTTAAGGACCAGCACCAAATACACAATATAATCATTCTATCACCCCTTTAATAGTTCTGCTGCCCACAGAAAGTGAAAGCACAACCCGGAACCATTAACAATCTTATTTAAATTGTTAAATAGCTAATTTAACCAGCGACCAATCTACAGAAACCTCTAAAAGTATTAGGTAGAAATACATGATATTATCTTTGATCTTTTACACTAAAATGCGTTAAAATGTGATCCTTCTATTTCACTTATGGTTTTCCACATTACTATTTGCTAACAACCTGTTTGTGTTGAAAATAAACAGTTTTGAGTTCCGCAAAAGTCATGTCTCTAATTACATTTGCAAAATGTGTTAGAATATCCTTGAAAACATTAATTTCACTAAAATTCCCACTAAACTTCAAGTGATCCAAGTCTAAAAGCATCTCCCAGACATGCAGAGAAAACCACACTGAATGTTATGGTGAATATAACTGACTGTACCACGTACTGAGTGAGTCGGTCATGTCTCGTCCTGATCCATGAGTGTTGGACTGACTGTCTCCTATTGGACAGCTGTCTGAGTCTGATGTTTGTTTATCTGATGGCAGCATCTGGGTACAAAGAAAATAAATAAGAAAAAGAAAAACCGAGTCATCAGTACTTTACGTCTTCACCGCAGACAGACTCAAACTCCTATATCACTACTAATTTTCTTGCTTAGCAAAGGAAACCTTTGGAAAAAGGAGTGAGCTCAGCAACCACAACAATGGTTCCTCATTCATTACTTGCAGACTGAAGGCCAAAGGAGTAGTCGTGTCACTGTTGTCTGAAAGGTGACATCATTGAAGTCCTAACTGTAATCATGATAAGAACTAAAATACCATCCGCCTTTTCAGCAAAAAAAAAGAAAAAAAATCAGACAGTATGAGAGAAAACTAACTACAAAAACTGCTTACTAGATTAAAGGTCTGAAGCTTAAGATAATTACACAGAAAAACACACACCTTGTCAAGCTCCAGTTTCCTCTGTATTATAGGAGAGGTTGATCCATTCAGCCCCTCTGTGTTGTTGCACTGACTCCCAACATCATGAACCACCTGGACCAGTGGAAAAAGACAGGAATTTAACATCTATACACAAATCATAGGAGTTTTGCTTTTCTGTTTCCACACAACCACTCCAACTTAAGAGAACAGAGGTACCTTGAGCCATCGCTGGGCCTGTTCTTTACTCTGAACGGCAAGGACCAGAGCCTCCCCTCCGGGCAAAGAGAAGCGGAGCTCGTGCCTCTTTTTCCGGCCTTCTTTTGGGACGTAGATGACGTTGCAGAGGTTCAAGGGGAGCTCTGTGTTGGGCGATGTCTCCTTTAAGCTTTTATAGCACTTAAAAAAATGGAGGATTAATATAACAGCTTAGGAGTAAAGCTTTATGGTTTTTTTTTCCACATATGTACATTTTTACACCAAAACTTAACCTTTGTAAAACTATATCATTATAGTAACTATATCATATTTTGTGTTGCTTTGCTAATACATTTCCTGAGTATTTAAATTGGTTGGGTTTATTTACCTGGAGTTTATTGTCTCTGACAACCACTAGCTGCTTTGTCCATTGGCCAAAGCGCTTTTTTCGCATCAGAAAGGCACATATGCGGCAGTCCCTGACCGGTCCATCAGGGCTTCCCTCAGCCGTCCACCTCTGAGATGAGTCCCGCCCCTTCGCCTCGTCCTCCTCTTCCTCGTATGACTCATAGGAGCTGCTCAATGCGTCGGAGTCATTGTCTTTGCATCGAACATAAACACAGAGATTAATTTCATAAAGGTTTAATCAAACATTCTTATTAAGGAGGTGATTGCAGCTGGTACGACTGAAGAAGGATCAGGCAGACTTACTGGAGGTTTTAGAGGGTCCATTAATCCTGGTGGCTGGGTAATTATTATCAGCATCTTCATAGTAAGCATCTTCAACAGAGTTTCTGGAATCTACAGCACAGAGTTATTAGAATTTACCTTTAACCTCTATTGTTATCTGATGGTAATCTCCATTAGACTGAATGTGGTCCAGTGATCATACTTGTGGTAAAATACTGAGGGGAGGATCCAGGATCAAGAGGAACAGCTTCTTCATAGTAGTCATCTGGAAGCGGTGTTGCTGGCAAAGGCGGCGGCGTGTCAGTGGGGGTCTAAGGGCAAAGTAAGGGAGGTTAATAGCAGAATAATTGCTGAAAATTGCAGATTTGATCATCAGGTTTCAGGAGACAGATGTATAAGTCCTTACTGATTTACTGGGCTGTGCATTCTCCCCCTTATCTTTAGGTTCTTTCTGCTCCACCGGAGAAGCACGAAGCATGTGCAAATCACAATCTGAAAAAACAACAAGACATGTTGTAACGTGTCTTGTAACACGATGATATAATATATGATGTTTAAGACTGAGCTAAACTGATTGAATGATGTTTAGAGTTCTACGTACCGAAATCCTCAAACAGAGACTCGACGAAGCTGGTGCCGTTCATGTAAACTCCTGATCCATTGACTGAGGAAAGCATGAAAGATGAACTAGCTTTATTAAGGATTTTGCAGAGGCCATAAGCACCAGATTATATGGATAAAGAGAACAGCATCAGTGAAAACGTTTTGCCTTTCAGATAAATTAAATTATGTGAAGACAGTCATCGGATTACAAGCGGAGCAGGGAGAGCGTATGTACTCAGTAAACAGAGATAAGAGAAGACACAAAAATCACAAAAGTCTTAAAGCCAGACTGTACATAGGCCAATGCTGGGCCCATTATTACTGCACTTGTCAGCCATCAGGATATTTTGCACATCCCCTTTTTTTGACCTTGTCTCATTATCCGCTTTTAACTCTGCATTTCATTATCCTCTTACATCAATCCTTTTATCCTCCCTCACTTCCTGCACTCTTCTAGATAAACAAGGACTGCTTCAGAGACTACAGGGAGATCTGATGCTGCAAAGGCTGTGTTTACAAAAAAAAAATTTTTACTAAACAGAAATAATGTGCCAGAATCAAGAGTCAATCTTACAGTTCCATTTTTAACAAGGCATATTTCTACAAAAGTGAAACGATACATACTGACATACATTAGCTTTAATATATTTGGGGTTTGTGCAATTGGCCAACACAAAATGATGCCAAATTACTAAGTGAAAGAAAACAAATGTTTTCAAACAGGTTTTACAGATAAAAAAAAAAAAAACTTACCATAAAAAAGAGCTTGCATGTGCTACCACAACATTCAGGATAACAAACTGCCTTCAGAAGGAACCTAATTAGCAATAGAGCATGACTAGCGGAGTTTAGCTGAGTGCAAATGAACCTCTCTATAAACACAGCTGTCCCATAAAGGCCTGAGTGGTTTAGAGATCATTATTATCAAACAAACATAATCATAAAGAAAAACTTTGGGTAACTTCTAAACTTTCAACGTCTGGGTGTGTTAGAAAAGACAAAATTAAAAAACTGCTGATATATTTGAAGCGAAATGTGCTTCTAGAAAGTGACTAAGTGGGACTAAAGGTAAAGTATAAAAACATTTTAGATTTTTTTTAATAGAAATTCTCCTCTCCACTGTAAAATCTACACAACTTTGTGTAGGGTGAATTACATAACAGCCCATTTATTTTGTGCTGTCCCATGACAAGATGCATATTAAAATTTTTTACAAATGAACAGATCTCATGGAATTACTATAGATCGAGTACGTAAGTTGATTTCTTTCTTCAATCAAAGCAACTATATTTATTTGGCAAAACTTGATAAAACAGCAATTAAAACACTTAGAAGAAAAGTCAAATAATCATGAAAATTTAAAAGAAAATGAATTCTGAGCCCAAATCTCCAAGAGCAATTAAAAAAGTCATAATTAAAACTAGGTCAGAAGTTCAGAATAACAATTTCTTACTAGATGATTTCTTTATACATTACATTAAAGGTCATTTGCTTTTAAAGCTTGTGGAGTAACAAACTTTTTTTCACAGAATAAAAAGCAAAACATCTTCACCAATTGAAGATAAAAATAAAGAAAGCATGAGAGATAATATACAAATAACACACATGCAACATCCTACAACATAAAAGTAGTTAAAAGCCAATCTGAATAAGTGAGTCAACCTAAAGCAAAGATGGAGGAAATGCATTCCACATCTAGGAGCCATGGCTCTAAATAACCTTTCCCTAGCCAAACAAACAGCTATAGGAAAACAAAAGCAATGAGTTTCTCATAACTTTAATCTAAATACTTTAACCTGTAAATCTATTCTGCTTCTTTGTGAGACATCAGATACATCAGAAGAAAATTTGTTTTCCCTCATAAAAACGCCCAGCAACCACAACCATTACGAAGAGACAACCTTTATTTTCAGTTAAAAATCGGCAACTTGGGTTGGTTTAAGTGCCTTGCCCAGGGGCACGTCGATATATGAGCGGGAAAAAAATCATTATAACAGGGGTTGTGATGTTGTGGGACATTTTCTAATTCAGATGTTCAGAAATTCATACAGTTCTAAACATTAAATTACCCATTAAATATCTGAACATTTTGAATTAAAATCGGGATGCCTCTAAGGCCCCAAACCAGCCTCTCATCCATACGAAGCCGGCGTTTCGGGGGTCTGTAAACGATCTTTTTTTTATTCAGCCTTCAGAGTGGGAAGATTTTGAAACGCCGTTTTCGCGTTTCCATCTTTAAGCTCTAACCGCATTTTTTTTTTTTTTTACACGCATGCGTCATAGCGTCGCCTCTAAACACGCATGCGCGACACAGTATCACAACAACAATGGCGCCGTACTGTGTTGAATGGTTGCTGCTCATGCTACTCACCCTGCTGTCGGGCTTACAACAGAATCTTCTTCTTCTGGAATATCTCCAGGAAGAACAGAGCAATATCGACGACATAGTTAAGCACCTGAATTTGACTGAACCACGAAAATGGACTCGCAGGGCAACCATGTATAAATATTAGTGCACATGCCCAACATTTCGTCGCCTATTTTTGCTTTGGCACCACAGCGCCACTTACAGGCCTGGCATACATTTTGCAGCGTTTTCATGCATTCGTGTGGACGATCACATTTATTTTACGTCTCCTTTTTTACGACAAACGTTCTGGAAAATATTAGCGTTTCGTGTTCGTTTTGACTTCGTGTGGACGGGGCCTAAAAATAACTGATCATGGATCGTCACTATGTCTTTAAAACTCATGATAAACTAAAAATAGCTCAGCAAACACATACCCATTCTGGTTTCGGTACCAATTGACTCGATATAGGGGCCGATCTATTCATTCTAACTCTATGCTATGCTCTGCCATCATGCGGCAGCGCAACAATACAACATGGTCATATTAACTCTAACACCACCAACTTAATGAAACACCTCCAGAAGTTTCATAACAAGGAATGTTTTAAGATTATCGGACTCGGCAAACAAAAAGGAAGCAGCGGAAGAAGCTAACTTCTTTGGAAGCAAAGGAAAGTGAAATTTTTCCATGTAACAGAATAAAGGCCCAAAAAAATCACAGAGATGATACTTGATAATGATAATGACACTTTTCTTTACATGTTGACCAAGTCAGAGAAATTTTGGTTTAAGATTTTGTGCACAGTTGTTAAATAAATGAGTCACAACATTTATATTGTTTCCTATTTTAAGAAAAGGTAAGTCAAATCATATGCACAGAAGAATGATCCCAGTTTTTTTTCTTTTTTCACACAATAAAACCATTTTTTAGCTAATAATTAAGTAGTGTTTTTGGCATCGATATCGGACGACATTATACTTCAAATATCGGTATTGTATCAGAGGTGAAAAAAGTGGATCTGTGCATCTCTATAGAAAACCTGATCTGAATTTTATTAATACAGGATTGAGGACAATCTAAAGAGAGATCAAAGACATTCCTCTATCTTTATGCTGCAAGACTAACAGAAAACTGTCGCAAAAAAAGGGCCATCCCAAAGTGTTATCAGGAATATTATACTGTACCATTTCCCAAACTGCAATAATTCTGGATTCTATCAAATGTTTAGAAATAAAAGAGCTTATGTTTCTACACTTGATAATATCATTAGTAGGGGTGTGCATTGGCACTGCCCTCACGATTCGATTCGATTACAATTCACCAGGTAACGATTCGATTCAATTCGATTCTATGATGCATTGCGATGCATCAAAATCCCGTTGACTTTGTAAAATCCGAAATGTGCCCAGATATCCGCTTTCCAAGCTATTGGTGCGTTTTTAATTAGGCCTACCCATCTATCGCGGTCATCTCCCTCCGCTTCAGCCATCTTGATTGTTGTTGGTAGGCCCCCGGAAGTAATTGAAACTTCACAACTTGTCCATTTGAGGCCAGAAAATAAACAGTGACATAATCGATTATGGCACGTTGCCGCATCGATGCTGAATCGTGCATGCCCTGCATTGCAATGCATCGCTGAATCGATTATTGTTGACACCCCTAATAATTAGTATAATATAATTAGTATAATTAGGCTGGTCAACACACCGTACCAATACCAGTGTACAGTATCATCAGGTTCTGTAAAGTACAATGGCATTATTAAGTACCTGATAGCTGAAGTGAGTCCAGGATGTTGCGTACGGAGGCCATCTTGTCGGCGGTATCAGGGCTAACTGTCTCATGGTCCAGCATTTTCAGCAGAGAGTTGAGCTCAGTTACAAGGCGCTCCATCACCACTGAAAACCAGCAGAACATGTTTCATTGTTTGAGTTTTTTTAAACATAAAATCAAACTCTTGTTGGGTCAAATCAGGTGAAGCTACAACCAACCAGTTTGCCGAACCCTTGGCATAGATGACATATGAATGCTGCAGGGTCAAATGTGGTAAACACACACGCTTCAAAAGCAATTATTGGAAAATAGCAGTGGACAAAGTGCAGGAGTGCTGCAACAGCTGACAGGAATTAGTTTGAAACAGCCTTACATATCACGCACTTTTAGACAGCCTGGAATATTTAGAGCTTTCTCTTAAAAAGGGAGATTTCTTTATGTTCAGCTTCAACATCCTGTGCGAATCAGAGTCTGCTTGAATGTGTTTGTGCAATTTGTTGACCTTGACATTGTTCCAAATATCCTGACACACACTCACACATCCTGCCTGTTCAGAGACGAAGAGAGGAGGGAAGAGGGTTTGGAGAGAAAAGAAGGTAGGAGGGGAGGTCAGGGGGCTTCCTTCCCTCAAGGAAATAGAGAAAAGGAGAAAATCCACAGCTACCTGCAAAGCTCTTTAGAAGTGCAAGCCCACACACTGCTATAAAGAATAATGATACAAGCTTTAGTTATCATTATTAACCTACTTTTACAGTGAAACTAATATGATATAATTGTTTTCTTTATTTAAAGCTAGGTTTTCTCAACATTAAACTTAAATTCAATAAGAAATTAAAGGAGAGTTTTAATATTTTTCATTAAAACTAGTTCTTTCTTTTCTGACATTAATTTTCATCAAGGCTCCATCTATTTCCAAATGTGTTTGACTAAACCAGACAGAATCATTGTTGTGAACTTTGGTTAGAATTTATTTCAACCCTTTCAGTAACTTTACCACATTTTTGGGTAATGATGTTATATTGTTACATTTGTATGGATAAAACCTGGTAAATTTTCTCTCTAAAAAAAGAAGCTGCTAAGAAAAAGAAACATGAACACAGAAATTTGTTTCAACTGTGAAGCTGATACAAATATGTTGTATAATATGTTTCCTTTGAAGTGAAGTCCCAGAGAGTGAGAGAGTGAGACCACACTCTCCCCTAAATGCCCTCCTTTCCCCCCAAACTCCAACAATACTCCATTGTCTCTCTAAGGGCCAAAATTAGATCACTAAAGCACGGCCAGAGTGCACAATCACATTGTCAGAGTCACAGTCTCTGACAAAAAAAAAAACAGGAACAAACAGTCACACACAGTGAAACAGGGGTGTGGTGCAGCACAGCTGTGTCGTCTAGATTCCCGGGCATTCAGGGTTAAAGGATATATCTCCAGCAGCTGTTTGGTTGTGTGTGTGTGTGTGCGTGTTTGTGTGCAGCTGTGGTTTCCTGTCTTGGCTGTCGACAGAATCGTCTCCCTGCTCCGTTCTAATCTCAAATTTCTAAATCATCCAAAAGCCAGCGTCTTCTCTCCCCCTTTTCAATTGTAACTTTCCTCTCTTCCATTTCATCCATGCTACTGTTTCACTTCCTGTTCTACTGCATCCTTTTTCTTATGGTCTCTCTTAGATTATTCCTTGTGAACTTAAGAACTTTCCAGGCTGAAATTTACAGATTTCTTTTTTCATAGGACAACTATGATAAACTTATTCTATATTAGGGCTGCAACTTACAATTCTTTTGCAAATCGATTTATTATTTGATTATATATTTGATTAATCGATCAATTATTTAATAGCTAAAGGCTCCTTAAAGAAGACTTTTTACGAAATTAAACCAGGTGAAACTAAAACTCTTCCACTTGCGGAGTTTTGGATAGTGCATATTGACAGATGAAAAAGATTTCTTTTTTTTTTATCTGAAATGCAAAATGTTTACATTTTGCATACAATTTTGGTAAAATATAATTTCTATAATTACTGCTCTAAGTGGGGTACTCTGTCAGCTAAAGGCATATTTTAGACTCACTATACTCCAGTTAACAATTTATCGATTACAAAATCTGTTGACAATTGTTTCAATAATCGATTAATCATGATTAATCCTAATTAATCCTAATTGTTTCAGCCGCTATATATTGCAGACAGTGCCTCCTGCCTTGAGCAGACCATAATAAAACAATTAACTATTTTTTTCCCCTTAATGACAAACAACTATCTCTGAGAATCATCTAACCAATGAGTAAAAATTGTCATGATGGGTTCACTGAAAGCGACCCAAGAATGCAGAACACCACTGACGGACACAAGGATGAAAGTTTAACAGTTTTATTAATGCACAAGCACACTGAATATACGGGTTCTGGTTCGGGGCCTGGATTCTGGTTCACCGGAGTCTGCGTGAGAGACAGTTCAGTTAGCGTTGCCAACAGAGGTTTGATTTCCAGATGTTCACAGATTGTACCTTGAGGGTTCTTGAGGTTAGCTTTGGGAGAGTCACTGTTGGTTCTGGAGAGGAGTTCATCAGCAGAGTCCGTTAGCTGCTTCAGCGTCTCACGTCTAATTAGAACAGAACTTGGCTTTGGGTTTCCCAGCTCTAGTCCAGAGCTGCTTGGAGGTTCTCTGTGAATCTTCAGGTTAGGCTCAGAGGGTCGGCTCGGCAGGTTAGCTCTTCCAGAGCTTTCACAGAGGAGGCACAGGTTTCCTGGAAAAACAGACACAGGGGTTAGAATCCTAGCTGGATTCAAAGTCATCGAATTACTCTGAGGATCTAGGCTTAAGCGCTGACCAACTGGAACAACACTGCGGCGTTGAGGCAAGGTCTGAAGACAGCTTAAGTAGTGGATCCTCTGATGATCTTGACGAGCTGCAGCTGTGCAGGAGGCTCCCTCGGAGGATCCACGGCGGACTCTGCTGGAGAAAGGTGGAATTTCTCCAGCTCCCAACAGTACCCCCCCCTCAACGACCGCCCCTTGGCGGTCCGGAAGAGGTTGATGGGCAGGAACGCTCGTACTCCTCGATAAGGGCTGGATCGAGGATGTACGAGCCTGGAACCCACTGGCGATCCTCCGGTCCGTAGCCCTCCCAGTCGACGAGGTACTGCCAACCGCGACCTCGTCGACGGGAGTCCACGATGCGGCGAACCGTGAAGGCCGGATGAACATCGACCTCCAGGGCGGGTGGTGGGGAGTCTGACGGTGGGCACAGAGGGCTCGAGGAGACAGGCTTGATCTGACACACGTGGAAGGTAGGGTGGATTCGGAGGGACTGAGGTATTTGAAGACGGACGGCTGAAGGGTTGATGACTCGAGTGATCCTGTAGGGTCCGATGAATCTAGGGGAGAGTTTTCGAGACATCCCCTTGAGGGGGATGTCTCGAGTGGACAGCCATACCTCCTGGCCCTCGGTGTACTCGGGGGCGGGACGTCTCCTGGCGTCGGCGAAGCGTTTTGTAGACTCAGATGACCGGTTGAGAGTGGCGATGGTTTCCCTCCAGATCTTTTGACAACGGCGGATGTGTTGGTTGACGGACCGCACCGAAATCTCTCTCTCGTCTGCGGGAAAAAGAGGTGGTTGATAGCCGAGACTGACCTGAAATGGGGATTGTCCAGTAGATGCAGATTTGAGGGAATTATGAGCGTATTCTATCCATGGAAGAAATTGGCTCCAGTCCATGGGGTTGTTTGACGTGAGGCAGCGAAGGGTGGATTCCAATTGCTGATTCATACGCTCAGTCTGACCATTCGATTGGGGGTGATAACCAGAGGTGAGAGAGGGTTTGCAGCCGAGAGCAGAACAGAAAGCCTTCCAGACCTGGGAGATGAACTGTGGACCTCTGTCCGAGAGGATCTCTTGGGGAATGCCATGTAACCGGAAAACATGTTTGATGAGAAGCTGGGCTGTCTGGAAGGCCGTGGGAAGTTTTCTGAGGGGAATGAGATGGCAAGACTTCGAGAAACGGTCAACAATAGTGAATATGGTGGACATACCTCGAGAGACAGGGAGACCGGTGACGAAATCAATGGCGATATGGGACCAAGGACGCGAGGGAACAGGAAGTGGTTGAAGCAGGCCAGAAGGAGGTTGGTGTGAGGCTTTGTTACGGGCACATGTGGGGCAAGCCAACACATACTCCTTAACGTCCCTGTGGAGAGTGGGCCACCAGAAGCGTCTGGAGATGAGAGCTACAGTCCTACTGACTCCTGGGTGAGCAGAGAATTTGGCGGCATGCATCCACTGGATGAGACGGGACCTGACGGAAGATGGAACATAGGTTCGGTTAGAAGGACCGTTACCTGGATCGGGTTCGGTGGCCAGGGCTGAGTTGATGAGGTCAGTTATTTCCCAGTTGACCACTCCCACTGTACAGGAAGCCGGGAGAACAGGTTCAGGTGTCTCGGAATGATCGACGGAGTAGAGACGAGAGAGAGAATCGGGCTTCACGTTCTTGGATCCGGGTCTGTAGGAGATGATGAGGTTGAACCGAGAAAAGAAGATTGACCACCTGGATTGGCGGGGATTAGCTTGTTTGGTTGACTGGATGTAAGCCAGGTTCTTGTGGTCTGTCCATACAAGAACCGGGTGCTCAGCTCCCTCCAGCCAATGCCTCCATTCCTCCAACGCCAGTTTGATGGCCAGAAGCTCCCGGTCACCCACATCATAATTTTGCTCTGCAGAAGAAAGTCTACGGGAGAAGAAAGCACAAGGGTGTATCTTTTGATCAGATTCGAGTCTCTGGGATAGGACTGCTCCAACACCGGAATCTGAAGCATCCACCTCAAGGATAAACTGCTTAGCCGGATCAGGTTGAATAAGGACTGGTGCTCTGGAAAACAATGACTTTAGTTTTTCAAACGCTGCTTGAGCCTCGGGAGTCCACTGAAAACTGCGTTTGACAGAGGTCAGAGAAGTTAATGGAAGGGCTGTCTGGCTGTAGTTTCTGATAAACCGACGATAGAAGTTAGCAAAACCCAAAAACCTTTGTAGCTGTTTGCGGTTCTCTGGAACTGGCCAGTCTAAAACTGCCTTAATTTTGTCCTCAGAAGGTTTTACCTGGCCGCCCTCAAGCACAAACCCCAAAAAGGTGACTGA